CCCGCCCCGACCATGTGCACTAACATGCCAGGCGTAGTCAACAACCCCAACTCCAAACCCATACAAACCCTCCCCGCTCTCCTTCAACAGCCCACGCCAATCGCCCTTTCGCAGACCTGGCTCCATCAGAGAAGCCTCGCCGTCGACATTGAAGCCGACCACACCAAACAGCTCGCCCCTCAAACCAAAAGACACACCCACGACACCCTCACAACTAAACCTCCGCCAGTCCACCGTTGGAAATGCTTCGCACAACCCACCGTCATGGCTGAATACACGAGGCACCGCAACCGTCCCGGATGCACCCCTCTCGCCCTCTCGAAATGCTTCCTCACCTACACGTAACATCTCGTCTTCCACACAGGCGACTGTCCGACCCCTAAGCACTGCATCCCTCGCGGCCAAATTTGATCAAGGAAACGGGGACACGCCGCCGCCTCTGTCCTTTAGAAAATCCAACTCGTCGGAAAGAATCACTCCAGTCGAAAAGATTGCGCCGGTGGAGAAGCCGGTAGAGAGGTCGTTCGAGCGACCAACAGAGCGACTGTCTGAGCAGCCGGCAGAAAGGGCATACGAGAAGCCAGTGGCCAGCCCTGCAACGCGACCAGCTCCGCTAGAAAGGGCCAGCTCAAGCGATGCGCTATCAAGAATCCCTCCTCCTATGTTGCACAGCATGCGCGAATCATTCAGCGTAATGGACAGGGACAACGACGGACATGTCAATTCGGCCGATGTGGCAGACATGCTCTCTCAGCTGGGTCTCTCTGCAACACCGTCGCAACTCTCGAGCTATTTCAACGGCGCGCAATCCATCAACCTCGCGACATACCTCAACACGCTGTCAGACCTGTTGGGAGGCCTGTCGCATGCGAACGAGCTGACCGCAGCATTCGAGGCATTTGACGATGGAGATGATGGCCAGATTGATCTGTCCGAGTTGAAAGATGCTCTTCTACACACAGCGCCTGAATCGGGCGAGCACAAGCTGACAGAGCGAGAGATCGATATGGTCATTGAAGGATTTCGCGGGAGGAGAATACATGGCAAGGGTGGGAAGAGTCTAGGCAGAGCGGAAGTGTTCAGATATCAGGACTTCTTGTCGAGTCTGACAGGTGGAGGCAATGAGGGAGAGAATGGAGCTGCGGTGGCGCCTGCTTAGACAAGGGAACGATTTCTAGTATGATATATTCTAATCTTCGGCTTCGAAACTCCCTCCTGAGTGAGCGTGTGAATGGGAATTACGTTGCATGATATTAGCGAGTCTCGCGCGAAGTGAACTAGGACCATGCAAATGCGTGAATTGTTTTCTTCGATGATTAATTTGGCGTCAAGACAACCATTTTTACTTGAGGAAATATCTCGCCGACAGCTTACCTAGGCTTCCTGTCTGGACCAGGGCATCACAACGGGTACCTACCTACTCTCTAGTTCTAGGTACATGGCGGGCCGACCGAGCGCCGACGCTTGGCAAAGGACACGCTTACGCCCTCTGCTTGCTGCCAGCATCACCAGTTCCGCGTCACAGTCTTTTCGAAATCAGCAATCATGAGGCTTCTGTCTGGTTTAGTTTCTTCGCTTCTGCTTTCGAGCGCTTCCATTGTGTCTGCGGCTTCGTCCTGGAGTTTTGAAGATGGTGTTGTGTCTGTGAACAGCAAAGGTGCTGGTGCTGGCGAAGGGTCCAAGAACAAGTGAGTGATGAGTACCATTTGTTTACCTTGAGCAACTACTGATGATTCTTAGCTTGAGCCCAAATAAGCCACTGGCCAAGTCTGTTTCATTGAGTGCGTCCGAAGCCTTGAAGGTCGCCCTCACTACTGTCGATGGCAGCTCGGCGAAGCGACCACATCAGGCTTTCCTTACGTTGACGGAGCCCATCACCGGATTAGAGGAGTCTTTCGTAATCAAAGTCAAGGACAGTGGAAAGGGACATGTCACATTGGTATGCATGACGTCTCAATTGTAGGCCGACTCTGCTAACATTCACAAGTCCCACAAAGACCTTCCCCACCAATTCCTCACTACCGAGAAGCCAATCGCCGCCTCCATCGTCATTGGTTCTTTTGGCTCTTCCACTCCCTACAAGAGCAAGGCCTTTGATCTACACGTAACCCGCGACCCCAATGTGCCTCTTAGCATCCCCGAGGCACCCGTTCGCTTCGCCGCCGAGCCCGAGATTCACCACATATTCCGCGAGGACCCCAAGTCTCCTCCCAAGATCATAACCATGGTGTTTACTGCAGCTGTTCTCGCTGCTCTCCCCGTGTTGCTTGGTGTCTGGGCTACTCTGGGCGCAAATGCGAACCACCTCCAAAAGGTCATGAGCAACGCGCCCGTGTCGCATGCGTTGTTTCTCGGTTCGATTGTGGGGATGGAGGGAATCTTCTTCCTATACTACACCCACTGGACTCTGTTTCAGACGCTGCCCGCCGCGGCGGTTGTAGGAACTATTGCTTTCTTGAGCGGAAGCCGAGCGCTTTCCGAGGTCCAGGAGCGCAGATTGGCCGGCTTGAGATGATTGGCATCAACTGGTACAAGGATTTCTCGCAGAATTTCCCTGGATTTGTAACAATATATGGGGCAGATGAGGCTGAAGAGCGAGTAAAAGGCAGGGATACACATGCCGTGGAGACATGCATTAGGCATACAGGATCAATGCGTGCAATCTTGCATGGGACTCACAGCACAGGCGTCGTACATTTCATCGACGGGTGATGAGACGGAATATATATATCTAAGCAAGACAACATTAGCAAAGTCATGCACGCGCATATAACCCAAAACAATGAGAAGAACTTTCCATCTTGAACCGCTCATTCATGCTGCTTTCCCCCAGCTCTTCATTCTTCTTAGGTGAGAAGGGGGAAGGGGTCCCGAGTATTGCTTGTTTTGCGACTGGTTGTTGAATTCACTGTGTATCTCTGGGGCTTCCTGCCACATGCTTTTTCTTCTCCTTTTTTTTGGGGGGGGAGAGGCGGGTGGGAACGGTCATGGAATTTATAATCCCTTCAAAGATTGCACAGACTCTGCCTGTCTCCATAGAACTAGTTAAAGTCATCTCATGCCCATGCTTGCTTTTTAGATGATGGTAGGCTAGTTCATGTGATGCTTCACTGTGAACTTTGGACTGCGTGAGCAGAGAGGGTCATGCGTGTTCCCTGGAGTGAGGGGCTTGGGGGGTTTGTGGAATTATGGAATTTTGGATGCTCGAGGTGTAAGGCAAGTGTGTCGAGTTTTTGTTTCTCGGTGTATGTGTTCGCTGGCGGGGAAAAGAGTGACGTGAATCGATGTATGCACGGGAGCAAGGAACTGAGTATCAAGGTGGATAGACGGGAAAATTCTGGGATTGTCCTGCCTATACTAATTCCCTCCCATCCCCCTACCGCAAAGCCCCCAAAACCCCCTCCCCATCCTCCAACCCAACCACCCCCTCCTCAACCATCTGCCCCAAAACCCTCTCCACCTCCCCCCTCATCCCGCTCCCCAGCGCCCCGCCTCCCACACCCCCCTCCTTCAAAACCCGCACAACCACCGCCTTTGCATCCGCCAACCGCTGCACCTCACGCGCCCCAGCACGCTCCGCATAGCTCCTCCCTCCACGGTAAAACACACCCGCGTTAGCTAGCAAGACCGGGCGGTTCTTGACCCAAGCTGGATTCGCGTCAGGGCTGTGCGAGAGGCGGAGGCGGGATAGGTCGATGTCGCCGCGGGCGAGGAAGATGGATGCGAGACGGGAGGGTGGGAGGAGGGTGGAGTGTGGGGGGGACGATAGTGTTGTTAGGAGGGTTTGGGCTTGGGTTAGTGCGGTCCATTGGGTGGTGGTGGTAGTGGGGTTGGGGTGGGAAGGGGAGGAGAGGGAGGAGGCGAGGTCGATGAGGGAGTCGGCGTAGGCGGATTGGATGTTGAGTGCTGCGAGAGTGGGAACGGTGGTGGTGGAAGTAGTGCTACCCAGGCTGTTGAATATGCGTTCCACGGTTTCTGCGTACGCACTGGGTGTGCTTCTGCCGCTGCGATATGCGACTTCGGCCATGCTGGCTTGGAAGCTGGCGGCTGCGAGAAGGGCGTCGTCCTGGGGTGTAGTGGAGGATTCTTCCGGGGCGGCAGTCGAGCTGATGGAGAGTGTGGGACCGGCTTTTGGTTCTTGGGGGGCTGCTGGAGCTGGGGATCTGGATATTAGGTCGAGTAAGGCTGGGATGCGGTTGTTTGCGGTCTCGAGACCATCTTGGGCCTTCTTCTCCATGCTCGGTAGATCGGTGTTGGGATCATAGAGCCCGAGCAACGTAGTCAGGGCATTGAGATGCGCAGTGCAAGTCTCGAGTATGCTCTCGGGCGTGAGTGGTTCTTCCACCGTCGCCCAATCTCCCGGTCCTTCTGATGCAGATGAAGCATCATCCATATCATCCTCTTTTGGCAGCTCCTGTCTCTCGCCCTCCCAGGCCTCTCTATACTCACCCGACGCCTGTGCCTTTGCAATCTGGTCTTGCATCTGCGCATACTCCTGCTGCTGCTTCTCCAAACAATTCGTAAAGATTTGCACGGCCTCTTCAAGCAGCGGCCGTGCCTGTGACTTGTCGGCTGCAGTGGTAGAACCGGCTTCCAAATGCGCTTCAGCTAGTGCGGTAAGGACCTGCGCTGTGTTGAAGAGAATGTCCATGTTGTTTGGGTTCAGGGACATTGCAAAACGGTGAGATTGCAGTGTTTCCTCCAAGAGTCTTGCTCTGTTGCCCAGGTGGGGTACTATGCGTTCATCTTCTGTGAGGTTGAATTCGAGATTGGCCCTGTGTACTGCTATAAGTCTTGGATTTCATGTGTATTTGAGCTAGTCAACTGACTTGTTGTATGCGAGATCAAAAGATTGGGGGAACTGTTTCAAGCCTGCGTTGTACATGTCGATGGCCCGGTTGAAGAATCTCGTGGCTTTGGCTGCGTCGCCGGCTCGCCATTTGCCGGCGGCTTGTTCATGGTCATCGGCGGCTTCGAGGAAGTCGTTTTCGGATTGTGGCTCAGAGGCCTTGAGCTTGCCTTTTGGTTTGGGTTTGAGGAGTTCTTTTTTTCTTGGCGGCATTGTTGGTTGCAGGTGGCTTCAGCAGGATCGGGTGAAGGTTATCTGGAATTGTGTTGTTGCAGTAACAGGGCTAGCTGTTGGGAAGAATAGCTCTTTATGTCTCCTGTATTAAATGTATCATTTGTTTAAACTAACGATAAATAAATAATCCGCAATCTGTGGCGAGTCAATTTGTAGTATTCGTTGACGACATGGGTGATTGTTGGTTACGGTACAAGACCTAGAACTTTTGCCCCTACCGGTACCTACTCTATTAAAAATTGTCCGCCCCACTTATTCGCGCTCTCAGTTACAACCTCAACTGTTCAACATTAAACTTATGCCAGAGCCGAAGCCACTTTTTCTCTATAGAGAAACTGTCCAAAGAAATCGTTTAAGCAACATAGCACATGTTCACTTCTCAGCGGCTCAAGCTTCTACTTAAACCGCCCCTTCTTTGGCCAAAAAGAAGTCCATCAGAGCAAAAAGACGCTATTTCCGAAACGGGGAATTGAACCCCGGCCTTGCCGGCAGCACGATGTAGACGTGAGAGCGGCAAATCCTAGCCACTAGACCATTTCGGATGATTTGATATGGATTAGTCAGCCATTAAAGAGTCTATGAACAGATTCAAAAAAATAATGGAGGCTGGCAGTCGCGCAGTGAGTACGTCGTGTCAATATGTAGGAGTTCTAGCAGGGTTAGCAAAAAAACTAAATCACGTCTCTCCCTGTCCCTCCTAGCGTTGAAAATTACTTGATGAAATAATTGGAGCTATCCAGAGCTACTACGGCGGGTTTGAGTCAGATACAAATGCGCATCTTCCCCACTTGGACAATCCAATATGGATAACTGCGATAGTACGCAATAAGAGCCTGCCCTTTAACTTCTTGTTCTTGTAGAACAGCGATTGTACCATTTTACTATTGTCATATGTGTGGGAGAGTGGCTGCATGTGTAGCGGTGGAACGTCGAAAAGCGTGTTACATGAAATCAATCGGGGCAAAAGTGAGCACTTATAACCCTCCTTCATAGACTTCTAAATTTCAATCTTATATGGTAGCAACTAGGGACTAGAAAATCGTGTGATTTCAATTCCGTAATAGTATCAATCTTCGGGAGTGCTTCTTCTCGCCGTGCCGAATTGATTGAGCACTATGCGGCCAGATTTAAACGCTCCATGGAAACCGAAATTTTCTTAGAGAAATGCCAAACTGTTCAGAACTTTGTTAAGTATCAATATAGACAAATGGAATAACAGCCAGATTTGGAATACAGTAGGCCTCAGGCTTCCAGTCTGGTGATGGTAGTCAAGGGGAACACCAGCGCAAGTAGAGATCTTGCATGAAATATCGCCCGATCCGAGAGTTCAATGGCTGCTGATATTGATGATGAATGCAATGAAGGGTTTCCGACGTTGTACTCCCAAGTGTTCGCGATGGTGTTTCATATGGCAGCGGTGAAAGGTAAATCCACACCGGCCGGAAAGGACCGTGCACGACGCCATCCAGGTGCCCCTTACCCATAGTGTGAACTCCAGATCACTCTTAGTAACAGTCTCTCTTATGGTAGTTTCCAACGCTCCACGTAAACGCTGTCCCTATTTAACCTATAAGTCCTATGTCGTATGATGCAGAACACAGTGGCATCAAAAAAGGAGAGCTCTGCCTCCACTGCGCAGTCGATCAACGCTACTCCGTTCAGGCGCTACCTCACGCTCCTCGCCGTAAAACTACTGAAGCGCATCCGAAAAAGCAGAGGTCCTGTAATCTTTCTTTCGTCCAAGATATGCGTCAAATGCGGAGGGCAGGTCACTCTCAACGAGGCATCCACTATGCAATTCGTCGCGCAGCACACTTCAATCCCAGTCCCTCGCGTATACTGCGCCTTCAAGAGGAAAGGCCGAGTATATATTGTCATGGAGAGAATACAAGGAGAGCCCATCGGAGCCGGGTGGTACAAACGTTCAGAGGAAAGTAAAGCAAAACTACTTGAACAGCTCAAGAGGATGATTGAGGAAATGCGCAGCATCACGCCTCCAGAAGGGGTTGGTGTCGCTCATGTAAATGGCGGCCCGTTGTATGCCCCACGGTTGCCTGGGACCTACTTGCATTCTGGGCCTTTCAGCACCATCCAGGACTTTCACAGCTACCTAAGATTTGGCATCGAAGCACATCCAGAGCACAAGCCAGAGATTAGTGAGCTTATCTCTCGGCAAGAAAAAGTCCGGGACCCTCCAGTATTCACGCATGGCGACTTGAGCAGCTTCAACATTCTTGTTTCTGGAGATGAGATTGTTGGCATTATTGATTGGGAAACTGCTGGCTGGTACCCTTCGTACTGGGAGTACACCAGTGCCTGGGACGTGAACCCGTACAATGAATTTTGGCGAGATGAGGTTGGCAAATTCATCCAGCCTATGCCTGAAGAACTAGAGATGGAGAGGGTACGGCTTGAGTACTTTGGCGACGTATGAATTGATCATATCTAATGTGTCCCTACATTTGCAGACCCTCTGATATATCAATCAGGGGATCTTTTCTTTTCGTTCAATCAAGTCATACGTAGCCACTTTGATCATGTCAAAAATTCCCTGTCCGTCGAAACGATGCTCCGCTTTCTTGCGCTGGCAGTATTCCATTGCGGCGTTCCTGATCTTCGCCCAATCAGTCACGCCTGTTCCCAGAGCTTTCCCATCTGCCTCCAGCCTCTGCAACGCTTCCTGCAGCCATCCAACGCAATTCCATCCCGCCACGCCTTGCCTAATTGGTGTGTTTCGAATAATGGATATGATTCGATCCCTATCTTCCACCTTGGCTATCATCACTCGAATAAGCACCATCAAAGTCTGCCCCAAACCGATTTCTCTCTCCTCAAAGTACCATTCTGACGCATTAGACCCTACAATGCGCTCTTTTGCATGATAGCGCATGCCTTTGCCATTGGCGACCTCGTTTTTGGGGCCGACTAAAAGTGCCCAGTGGTATCTGTGACAACAACATCTGTCAGCAAATTGCTCCGCGGGGCAAGGCTCGCGAGTAGTACTCACGTGTCCTCTTTTCCCGGCATTTTGGGTGCTCCACCCCGAACATAGAGTGCAACATAGAGACGATCTTTGTCGGATGGCATCGTGTTGAAGCAAAGGACTCGGACTAGCGGTGGTGTTTGATAGAGCCAGAGATCTGCTATCAATACCTCGAATCAGAAGTATGGGGGAAAGCGAGCGAGGCGTGTCTATCAAGGTCCAACGTACTGTGTATAAACGTAGAAGTGAGAAGAAGGAGCCCAAAGGTGTGTTTACCTAGCAATACTGCTAGTCCCTATTAGGACGGCTCTTAGCCAACTTAGGACGTCGTAACCGCCAATGCTGGTGAGTAGTCACCACCTACCCAGTCGAAGGTGTTATGGATGATATGGAAGGAACACTGTGCTGTGCCGCATTTCTGTCCTCTAATCTGCTATGAATTACTACATCAACAAAGCATTTCCTCCATAAATAAACGATAAATGCTTCAATATTATACATTTCTGTTCTGCATTACTTACTCATGCTCTTAATGCTGTGGCCATGAATAGCTTAGTCACGTGTGTCTCTTGGATGGGATTAGCGTCTTCGCTCTGTTAACTCATAGATGGCTCCCATCCTCCTAGACAAGGACATTATGATCACATACACACTACACTTGGACCCACCTTCTTGTGGGATACTGCACTGAATATTATCTAGTTTGTAGCTACTGTACATCTTAAAGATCGTGAGGTGCTATACACGAGAACAACTTCGTCATGCTTGGCTGAAAACATATCTTCAGAGGCCTAGGCAAATCCGATGCACCACTCACATACTGTTTACATACATAAGGCAGGCCTACAGCCGTTTATGAAATTTCCAGCGGGGGAATTTTATAGAAGTTCACCATAAGAATAGGCTTTGGGTCGGTCAAGCACTTTTGCACTGATGACTGGAATGCAAATCATCAGGACGCGACGAGGTTGCGCACAAGGAACATCCTCGCCATATCACGGGAAGGGTCTCGCCCCAGCTTCCAGTGTGTCGAAAAGCAGCGGGCCGAGCTCCACTCTGGCAGACAGGATTATACAGTGTTCACGAAGGGTGATTCGCAGGCGTATGAGCATTCGCGCCGTGCCGCCCTCCCTTCTCCGCTCCGTTTTTGACTAAAGGACGGCAAGAACCAAACTTCCAAGTGGATTAGGTACCCTACGTGCAACTCGAGATTATGATAGTCAACTGTCAGCAGTGCATGTCATGCCATTGTTGTTGTTCCGCGGTTACCGCCGGAGAGATCTTTGCTGCTCTCGGATATTAGTCTACAGTCTCGACATGGTGAGGCAGATCTTGGGAAACCGTGCTGCATGCGGATGCAAGAAAAGGGAAATTCGGGGATATCGGACCGTATACTCTACGGAGAGGTCGAGGAGATGACTCGATGCGTGTCCTTCTTCCCCATGAGCTAATGGTTGTCAAATGGATGCAGCCTCTTGCAGCATGTGAACATGCAGGAGTTCTCCATGCTTGCTTGTCTCAGAACTGCTTTCAATGTATGCATACCCCAGATCGCAGTGTGGATTAACTCGTCGTTCACATCGCGACTCTCGAACATCGGTAAGATCTGGAGATAGGATGAGCCCCCCCTGCATGTAACCGCGACCAGTAGTAACCGTGATACTCCAATTCGAGATCTCATTGGAGAGCAGACATTTCGGAAGCCGACTCGATGGAGAAAAGCGTAGTAACGTGATCAAAAAGCTATGCGGCCGGCTCTGAGCCATCACAAGACGAGCAGCGAATGATAATGCAACGAAGGGGTCAGAGGACTTGGTGGCTTGTGTGCAACCTGGATAGTGGATCAAAGTCGAGAATGGCCCCTCAGGCTCGCCGAAAAGCGCAAGTGAGACAGTTGAGAGCGCGCGATAGTGCCTTTTTTTTTCTCCCTCTCCTTCGCCATTACTGAGAGAGGCGAGTTTGTTGGAACATTGCGAGGTGGTGAGAGGAGCGTCGGAAAGCTATTTGATGCGCTGTCAAAGAGGCGAGTTGATCGCCTGCTCAGCCTCATTTTTCTGCGGCTAAGCAGCCAAGTCGATGCGCTTAGCCACACCTCAGCTGGCTTGTGACGGTCTCTCCGGTTCAAGGACATACCACGGCCAAATGCAACCAGATCCTGCAGGCATTTCTGTCGTGCATGAAATGGTCACGAGAATAGCAGCAATGGTCAGAAAGGGAGAGGGAGAGAGCGTTGAATGCGCTTCACAGAAATCGCTCAACGACGCGAATGACTCTTTGCATGGTACCTATGTCGAGCTCGAGAGCTCGGCTGTGGGTCTTGATTGAACAGTCAACACCCCGTCGACGGCTGGGGCGCTCTCAACGAGTTTCTCCCTCTTGGGCGATGGTAAGAGGTGTGCAGCCAGTCCTTTTGGATGTCCTAGATATACCACGAGTGTACTGCCTCTCTTCTCCCGATCGCTGAAGCAAGTGATGGTGAATGATCGCGCACTTCGTCCAGCTGAGAGGAGCATGTGTAGCTGAAAGTCGAGCGCCATAGATCTCGTTTAGACGAGTTTGATTGTGGTTTGGAGGCCGCAGGTGTTGGTCTCTCGTTGAGTTTCTGCCTCAGCGGCTTGGACGTGCAAGCCCCCATCACGAGACCAGTCTGGAAGAGGCGATAGCATTTGGAGAGTGTTCAAGGCCCTGGTAAGAGGCAACCTGGGCCGCTGAAACGGCATGAAGTTGGTGGGTAAAGGACAGGGAAGAGGTCATCAGGGGCCAATTGCATCCCCGTGGCCTGCCGCCGCGCAGGGTTTGTTTACGAATTGTCGGCCACCATGGCTGTCCACCATCTCGACTGGATGGCCTCTTCGCTCGAGCCTCCACCCGCCAAATCAAGCGCAAGCGCCCGTACTGGATGAGAGTCACCCGTGTCGGATGAGCCCAACATCGCAGGGCCCCGCCGACGGCGTTGATATAGAATGATGGGTGGGGGTCTGGGCGTGTGATTGCGACGGTCACAACATTATACACATTTTGAGCCTGCTCGCACACTGGATGTGTACCGCCGAAGCGCTCTGGGCCAACAGATGGCAGCGCAACCACAACACTAACTCTCTGATACCTACTACTCACTGCAAGTCAAGGCTGCCCAGGGAATATACTCCGGACCGCTCGTCTGCTTTTGCGACGGCCTATCCGCAGGCCTTGCCCTGCTGAGACGATCTGCATACGGTGGAATCCCGCACTTGGCCAGTCATCCTGGAGAAAGTGTAGAGGGGACGCGTGAGCTTCTGTTGGGGTACGAGTATAACACCAGTCATCGTCTCGTCACTTACCTGTGCCCGAGTGTTGTTGATTTTTTCGTCCCAACTGCGATACCTTGCACAGCCCCAATCTCGGGCATTGCCGACCGCCACAGCCCATTGGGACCCACCGGGAGAAGTGGCGTTGGGGAAGAGGCGAGACCCTACCCCCAGGCAGCTCACCGAAATTCTGCATGAAGACGTAGGGCTGGATGTATCTTTGTGCTGGATCCTTTATATGTATGGACTTGCTATCTTACGTTCCTGGATGATTCCCGTTTCGCCACCCTCATCTTCTACTACTCCCACCTGTCACCCGTACCATCAAATTGCCGGACGACTACCTCCCTGACTGAACACTACTGACGGACCCGGGTATTCGACTTCTGGTCACTTTGCACAACAAATCGTCTTTTCAAGAGTTCCACAATTCGACAAGCACATGCCTTCATGAGTTACTCGGCGCACACAAGCCTTCGTTGTACATCTAGCCAAGCTACACAAGGCTACTCAACATGGCTACCTATAAGTCACAATTCCCTCCTCCAAGAAGGCCGGAGGACCGAGCGCCCACCACTCGATTACCTCAACGATCTATTACCCCTACGACTACGACTACGATAACAGCTGGAGTGCCATCCCCTGCCCATTCTAAACTACAGAAGAGACGGCCATTACAGGAGCAACAGGTGCATCCAAGAGGTCCAGTAAGCCAGAAAGGACTTGTGCGAGCTGCTAGCTCTATCCAAGGAGGCCCTGGCCGTGCTGCAACTTCGAATGCTCAGAAGCCGAGCATAACAGCCTCAAGACCGACACTGCAGACTTCAACATCGCGTTTACCCAAGCTCGATGTCCCCACAAGCATACAGACACCTTCTCTCGCTTCGGGGTCATCAGCATCAACGATCGAAAGCCCAAGGTCAAACGTATTAAGGCGGAAGCAACCCAGTGTTGGAGTCTCCAGTAGTCGACAGGGTCTACGTATCAGGGATGATTCAATGTCTTCCCAAGATGATGTACAGTCAGCAGATGGTATTCCGGGAGGCTACAAAGATCCATTCTCCGAGACTGTGTTAGGCATCTCTCTGCCATCTTCCTCGACTATACTGGCAGGTTCTAGTTCAAATCCTAGAGGCGATATGTATGGCAACGGTCTGTACGACTATGAGATTGGGCCAACAGACATTCTCCCTGTGCCTACTCCACAATATGCGTTATCTGTAACACCATCAACTCGATACTCGGAGTCTCCTGGAGCTTTCAGCACATCGTCTACACCCACATCGATGTCTTCATACTCCCCAGGAACTTCACTTTCCCGAACATCCATTCGAACGAAACAGATCAGCCCTCTACAGAGTCGACCACCGGTAACACGACACAAAACTCCGGATGAAAGCAACAGCCGACATCCACACACGTTGTCTACCGTTCGCGAATCATCCACGTCGTCGTCATCTGCCTCTACTGTCGTTGCAGAAGCTAAAACAAAAGAGAGAAAGTCGCCTGGCTCACTTGCTCCTCTACCGCAAAGCCCACAAATTACAAGTACTAGTGATTCCACTAGAATGCCGCGCACCCAAGCACCCCCTGAGTTTGCTCACCTTGTCACTGAATCGCCTGTCGCAATATCAACTTCTAGAAGACCGTCTAGACCCAGTAGAGATGGCACGCCTGAGATTATGGGACTTCGAGGCCCCTCGCCTGTCATACAGAGCAATATGAACCAATTTCCTACTTCACACAGACGTACCAGCTCTACCGATTCGAAGAATGCGCCGACGCCAGCAATGAACGCCAAAGTAACTGTGCCATCGAAACCGTCTTCCCGCCTACCTTCTCCAAATCCATCTTCCGCCTTGCCGACAGCAGTTCGTAAACCTGTTCGTGGAACGACACCTGATAATCAAAATGACCGCGAAGGACGAAGAACAAGCACTCTACCCTTGCCTGCGCCAGCCCCCAGTCCTTCCAAGACCTCAAGATTTGGCTTTTTTACTCGTCGTACCAAGACTGAACCTGCGAAGAGTGAGAATAAGCTTCCACGTCGCGGACCTGCAGCGGGAACTGGTCACGAAGGCTACGGCAGATATGCGGTTAGAGGTCGAAGCGGAAGTTCAGTGAGCACTACCAGTATTGGACGTTCAGTCAGTGCAGGGACGACTGCCGAGAGCCTCGACCAGACCCCCTCGACTCGCAAAAGCAGTATGACGAGCACAACAAGCACGGAAATGGATGACTTCTATCTTACTCGGCTCGCCCCTGTCGTGCTTCGAGGTACAGGAAGCAGCACAGAGTTATCGCACAGCCCTGAGCCCATGCACAGCAGTAGTAGCCTCGATGTTTCTTCGCGTTCGAACCTTGGTCCGCAGAAGCCTTCTGGCCATGTCACGAAGGCTTCAGTCGAGACGAACCGGCCAACACTATTACCCTCCGCCATGCCTGACAAATTGCGTGCAGGATCTCCTATAAAGAAGACGATCCTGGGACTGCGAAGGCCATCTGAGAGCGATGACGACGCAAAGAAATCATTCTTGCCTACATCCGCCTCGAACCGAACGTCTCGAGCCTTACAAGCAGCTCAAAACCCAAGCGCATCTACTGTGCCAGCAGCTCGTGCTACTAGCAAAGTGCGCAAAAATTCCATCTCTGAGGTGATTGCTGAGGGCAAGGAGGGGAGTTGGCTCAAGTCATCCAAGAAGAGCAAGGCAGAGAAAGATCAGACAAAGCCCTCCAAGCGTTGGAACTTCTTCCAGCGGGCACATGCGACACCACGTGTACCTACGCCCGCAATCACAACAGCCAGTCCGCCTCCCCAAAACGCTGCCTCGAGGTCTGTCGCGCATTACGCACTGATGGACCAGTCAGGACTCGACATGACGGACATCGAACAGCTAATGCAAGAAGCCAATACACCAGACGAAAGCACAGAGAGTGCAATGTCAGACGATGAGGTTGGAAGGAAGGAGAGGATGCTGTCGATGTTACTACCTGATAAACCAACACTACCACACAGCTTTGCACCACCTGCACGCTCTGCCTCGCCACAGGTCACGCTGCGTCGAGACGTCGACACGCAGCAGCACAAGAACGGCTTGACCATTGATACGAACATTCCTCCACAAGCGGGTGGACGATATTCGATTGCAGATCTCACTCCATTCACAGATATCTCGCGTCCTTCGTCCCCATTCCGGTCTCCGTCTCCACTAGAGAAAGAGCAAGTCGCAATCCCATCAGGTCCATCCCTTCCTGCAGAAGAGAATATCCCTAATTCTATCGAACCGACTGAAGATACTTTTGTTCTCCCCCAATATCTGCCATCACCTGGTCTTCCTGCAGTTAGCCCGCCCCCACGTCCAAGTCGCTTGCCTCAAGTCGGTCGCATACCTCAAGTAGTGTCGAGCCGTCGAGAGATGCGCAGACCTTCCTCGCAGTCATTCTCCCGGCCTTTTGTGGCTACTCAGCCTCGACCCATCGCTCTTCCAAGGAGCTCGTTCGACTCTATAGGTTCACTGGTGGCGACGACTGGTCCGGTTGAACCATATCCAGTTCTGCATGGACTGAATGCACTCACTCACGGATCGGCTATTGCTACTATCAGTCCATTCGACGAGTCTGATCGCCAGAGCGAGTTCTTCAAGTTTCCCCCACGCAAAGATTCCGAGGTGTCGTATTCAAGCAGTTCGGGTGTTTGGAGTTTTGCGCCTGTTGCCAGTACTGCCGTTGTGCCAGAGGCAGGAGCTCCCCTTTCTGAAGACGAACTTTGGAACGAGTACGACGATCTGATCGACGAGGTGCTTTCGCCTGTGACTTCCCGTACGGATGAGGAATCAAGCACCATTCGCAGTCAGCATCCCTCGCTCGAGCCGTTGCCACTAAATACCAAAGCACCACCGGTGTCTGCACAGTGTTCCAATTCTGACAATGAAGTCTCTAATCCATCGCTGCATTTGCGCCGCTCGCGTCTCCTCGCTGTTCTACACTCCAACCAGTCGCCGTCCTCATCGGTCTCCTTTCCTGAGTTTCTTTCCGACTATGGGGACCGGAAGATCAGTGTCATTGATCCTGTCACTGGCCGACTGAGCTTGCCAGCAAGTCCCAGTTTGTCCAGTGGTCCGAATCCAAAGCGGGCTACTCGTTCAAGCCTACCGGCATCCTTGCCACCGTCTACATGCCAATCGGAGGCCACCGTCAATTCCAGATCTAGCAAGGACCGTGACAGTGCGACTGCCAACAGATATCGCGATACAAGACTGATGGAGATGGCCGAAACCCAAGCAGATGGCCTTCTCTCAATGGCCAACCTCCGCTTCGGCGCACTCATGACAAGCAAATGGCTTTCATTTGGCCGTGTGCTCTTCAGCCCTGTGCACTTTGAACTGAAAGACCCAAACGAGGACCGTGTTCTGGTCATTGATGGACTGGGTAAAGATTGGTCCTACTACTGCGCACTCACCTATCCCGAGGCGACTGTGTACAACATGAGCGACGAGCCATCACCAGCCGGTTCAGAAGAAAACACGTCGGAAGCGTGGTCATCGCTCAGCAATCATCGTCACATCTGCCACTCGTCCCTCAAGAAGGCTTTCCCGTTCCCCATGCACTTTTTCGCATGTGTCGTGCTTCGCTTCCCTACCGCACTCCCCTCATCCGAGCACCGGTTCATTCTATCAGAAGCCAAGCGAGTCCTGCGGCCAGGCGGCTTCCTAGAATTCAGCGTCCTCGACATGGATCTCGTCAACATGGGCAACCGCGCGCGGCGCGCCGTCCGCGGCCTCAAGATGCGCATCCAAGTCGCCAACGAAAACACTTCGCTCCGCAACATCAGCGACGAGATCATGGCCGGCATCGGTCGCAAGGGCTTCGTCGAATGCAACCGCTGCATCGTCGGCGTCCCTGTTGCCGGCAAGCTTCCCCATCCCGACGACACTCCATCCCCCCCATCCAAGCGCTCAACCAGCACTACCAGCACCAGCGCCACCCCCAAACCCCCAACCCAGCTCCCCGCCCCCAAGCAGCCCAACCCAGAACTCTCCTTCTCCGACCTCCTCGACGTCTCGGCCTCGTCAGAGTCGACAGACACGGGCATCACCGACATGGTTGCCCGCGTGGGCCGCTGGTGGTACTCGCGCTGCTACGAGTCGCTCGTGCTGCCCGAGGCCGGGGCGCCCGGTGCGGCTGCATCTGGCAATCTGCTCGAGACCAGTCTCTGGCGCGACGAGGGACTCGTGCGCGAGTGTGAGAGGCGCGGGACGAGTTTTAAGCTGTTGATTGGGTATGCGCAGAAGCCTACGGTTGGGCTTCGGCGGACGGTTAGTGTTTGAGTTGGTGGTTTGTTTTCTTTTTTTTTTTCCCCTTTTTCTTTCCTTCTTCCCCTTCTTTTTCTTCCCCTTCACCAACAATAATTCATCGGAGCCGTGCTCCACCAAACCAAACCGGCAAACCCAGTCCTGGAGACTCCTGCCCCCACTTTCACACCTCTTTTCCATCGCATGTAAAATGAAGAAAAGGCGTCGAGATGCTCATACTTTTGTAATACACCCAAGCTTCGCCCAATCCCAATCTCGGCGTTTTTCCTTTCATTCCAGCATCTTCTGTACAGGTCTTTGCTCTTCTTTGTATCCTGCATTTCAGCGTTATGAATTTTTTTCGGCTTCGGCGGCTGGTCTGTTTCCATTTCCCTGTACCTTTTCTTTCCTTTCCTTCCCCCTTTGTATATACCCCCCCCCCCTCCTCTCCAACCTACTTTCCCCCTTCCCTTCCTAGCCATGCTAGCTTATGCGCGGCTGGACTCGTCTGTTTCGGCGTCTGGCATGCGTAGGCGCAGTGCGTCCGTTTATCTAGCAGCCATGTTTTTGGGGGAGGACGTTTTGGTGTGAGCGATGCGTTTGGGTATGGGCATGATATGTGTGATGAATGATGAGTATGACGAGTATAAGTATGATATTATTGTAAATAGTAGGCGCGAGCCTGAGTTTGCATAGTTTTGTTTTCTTATCTTTCTTTTTTTTTTGTGGCGGTGGTGGTGGTGGTGGTGTTGTGGGCGTTGTGTTGGGTGTGCATCATGCATTGTGCATCGAGTGTCAAGCATAAAGTTGTTAAGCATCTTATATCGAGTGTCAATTATCAGGCATCAAAAGAATGTATCTGCATATCTTTTTTCCCCCATATCTTTCTTCTTGTCTCCTCCATCTCCCGTCCTCGTCCCCCTTCGTCCCCCTTCCAACCCACCCCCTTACTACACAGCATTTTAGTAACACCAGCCACGTTTCCCTCCGCAGCGAACCCCCAAGATTTGGGAGGGGGAATTTCTATAAGAAAAACCAGAGGATCAATCGATCTCATCTGGTCATGTGCATAGGGAGGACTGAGGATGAAAGATGAGGAATGAGGGATTTCCGCCATGAGAAAAGGGTGGGTGATACGAGTGTGTAGACTGACGTTGTGAATAATCGACAGTGTGGAATCATACAGCTCCAAACGTCCCAAGACAAAAACCAAGCCATGTCTACAAACTACGCCTCACAGCACCCTTCCCCAACCCACGCACCTCCCTCGCCTGATTCCCCCCACCAGCACCAGCACCGGCACCCCTCCCCCCACCAACCCCACTCCACCCAGCACCCACAACCTCCCGCTCCATCACGCCCACATCCAGTTTATCCTGCATCTCCGTGACGCCCTGACCGACTCCACGCATGATGATTTTAGTCTTGGACAGAGAGGCACGCACCGGTCTGCGAGCGGTGAAGATTTCGCCGAGTTCTTCGAGGGTGCGACGGCGGGTTTCGACGAAGAAGAAGTAGATGAAGAGGAATTCGAACGAGTCCCAGAAGATGAAGAGGAAGTAGTACTGTTGGGGTTTGATTGTGTGAGCAGGTGTAGGTGTAGGTGTGTGGGCGGTAAAGAAGCGGGGGGGGATTGTGGTGTTGTGTACCGGGGTACAAGGAAAGAGAAGGAGCGAGGAGAATATAAAAAGATACAGAGAGATCAACATACCTTCCAACCCGCCCCCGCAAACGCAATCCCCGTCACAAATGTATTATAAAAATTCGCCACATTGACCCAGAAATTGTAAAACGCCATGCCCTTGGCCCGGGACTCATATCGCAAGCACTCGACGGGATACAACTGCTGCAACGGCGTCCAGCCCGTCGAATAGACAAAGCCAAAGAGGAAGAAAAAGGCAATGACGGCCTTGGCTTGTCCAGGACGTTTGATGACTGGTGTACTTCCGTCTTCGGTGTAGATGACGGAGCCGTCCGGCCTGGTTTTCAGGTTCGTGGCGTTGAGGGCACAGATGATGCTGAAGATGATGACGAGGGTGGCGGTGGAGACGAGGAGTTGAGGGCGTCGACCCCAATTGTCCGTGTAGACTGCGCCGAAGATGGCGCCGGCAAAGGAGACGACGTTTTGCATGCCATTGAACAGGAGGCGTGTGTTGTTGCTTGTTATGCCTACGCCACGAAGCAGGGTCGGATAGTAGTACGAGACGGGGCCGTTACCCGATAGTTGTCCAAAGAAGGCCATGGCGAGGACGAGCATGGTTCTGTAGCGAGCTTCGCGGGTGTTGAACAGTTCGCTGTAGTCCCACCAGCGTTTGTCGGAGCCAGTGGTGCTGATATCTTCGACCATTTCTTTGTATTCGAGCTTGACAATGGGTGAATCACGATTGCCTTCGCCGTGAAAGCAAGCCATTGTGTCCAGGGCTTGTTCATGTTGATCGTTGGCGATGAGCTGATAGGAGTTAGTCCGTCTCTTGTGTACCAACAGAATCGTGAAAAGTTACCCATCTTGGAGTTTCTGGCAAGAACGGACTGCAGATCAATACTATGCCAGCGAATACTAGTTGTAGCCAGATGGGTATGCGCCAGGAATCTGTGCCCTCGATCCGACTCGTGCCATAGGGTACAAAAGAGCCTGGGATACCGCCAACCCACCAAAACGTGTTGAAGATGCCAGTACACACGCCACGATAGGTGGGATGTGCCATCTCGGACACATATGCTGGTCCAGCCGTCGAGGTGATGGCAACACCAAAACCAAGGACGAACCGGCCACCCATGAAGCCGCCCAGATTGGTACAGGTAGCTTGCACGCATGCTCCGAGGATGATGACCGAGCATCCTATAAACATGCCCCATTTCCTTCCACGAAAGTCAGTAGCAGGCCCGGCTACAAAGGAGCCGACTAGATTGCCGATGGTGTAGATGGCGTAGACTATGCCCGTGGTAGGTGTTCCTTCTTCGGTGAAGTGGAAATAATCTTGATATTGCTCATAGCTGTTGATGGCTCCCATGAGAGATCCATCGTAGCCGTTGATACAGGAATTGAGTGTGGCGATGAAGAGGCATAAATATAGCTGTCTGTATTAGCGCAGCGTCATATCAGTCCGTATAACAACTGACCTTGAACATGGCTTTTGTCCAAGGCCTGACGTTCGCCTTTGCTGAAGCGTCTTCGAACGCGACATTTTGAACTTGGCGTATCTCTCCAGTGCCATGGCTACGCTCTGTGTGTGAGGTGTGCGCATCTCTTTTGTATCGGTGGGCCATCCTTGATCACCCCTCGGATCACACTCTTAGAATTGACGACCCGATGGATAGGCAGAGCAAATGACGAAGATCACCTAGATCAGCAAAAGCGTTCTCACATCCAAGCCAACTCCAAGCATCATATCAGGATTTGCACAAGCATCAGGAATGCAGTCAGCAAGACGCGTACCTTCGAGCAAACCCTCGGGGCTCGGGGGGTACTGTCTCAATAATATACACTCACTCGTCACCTGCACGCGACACAACAGCTACAGGTTCGGCCGCCACTCATATCCCACGAACACACCAGAACCCCGGTACTGTGCATGTGGCAAAAGCCCACGGTTGTCCAAGGGCTTGCTGTTCGTCCCGTACCAACGGATGATAGCCGGGTATTTGTGAGCGGCACAGCTCGCTTAAGCCCAGGGTGGAGGATCATTGGGTCGTGCGAGTATGGGTGAGATGAGGGGAGGGGGGGGGGGCGTTGAACATGTGGTGCCCATGCCGTGGTTGATGCGTTGAGAGGCATCCAGAGCTCCTGCGTTGCCATGCGAAACAGTGTTGGGGGCGCGGGGAGTCAATCAGTTCATTGTACGCTGCACGCTCTGCCTGCGCTGGCAGAGGAAAAGAAATAGAAATAGTTCGCGACACCTCCCGAGCATTGATCTTGTATATTGCCAAGCCGTCCAGAGGCAATTGTCGTTGGTGGAAGTGGGAGCGGTACTAGAGGAGAGTGGAGACAGCGACGTGCTGGGTGCTTTCTCCGCATCGGCTACCGTAGCGTATTCTGGGGAAGCCAACCTACCTACTACCTAAGAGACGCGAGCACTGTCACTTTTACATTCGAGTCTACCTACAGGTTTTTCCGAAAGGAGTGTCCCCAAAACGAATCTTCGGGACGACCTGGAGCCACTGGAAATCTCTATATGATTACATGAATCCATCGCCCAAGAGTCAAACATGAGAGGCGCTGGGCGCATGATCACAGCCTTGCGCTACCGTACCGGTACCTACCGGCCGGCGCAGCGTCGTGTAATATATTATTTTATATTGCTTCCTCCTCACTGCCGACATGAGACCCACTTCTGCTATAACATCTGAGGATCGTTCATATAGAGACCGTCGACTGTGTTGTTGGCTTGTCCTTTTGATCTCCGCAGTTCTCATTTGAAATGCAGCAGGACTGGAGCCAGGTGAAGAGATCAGTCCTCCATTCGTTTTGAGCGTACATCACCGTTGAATCAGAAGACACAGAGACGCTAAAGAATTGCATTACGATTGGAACAAGTATCCAGTTGGATATTTGCGTTGGATATTTCATACTCGAAATTCGTTGCGATAATCGACAATCCACGTACTCATGTTCGGTCAGCCACTACACATCAATGGCAACAAAACAAAGAAACAGCAGATGCTCCCGGTATATTATACATCTCAGATCCCTCGCTGCTAATTTAGAAGTCGGAACCCTTTAGGGAACGGGATATTCAAATCAACGGTAGTGAAGGTAGCACAACGCCAACGCCAATCGATGCATCGCACCCTGAACCAATCGTAGGAAAGAAAAGACGAAGTGAGGATGACAAAGCCGCAGAGCCAGTCTAACAGGTGTGTGTGTGTGTGTGTGTGTGGACAGGACAACACTGCGGATACATCTCATGAAGTGATGTGATCATAGCTGTAAAGGCTGCCATGCCAATGGTCAACGAGTATTGGTGCCACGTGGGGTTTCCGCGTGATGGAAACGATCCAAGTCCCGTCCTGAAGCGAAATAGCCAATGTGATCAATCGGTAACTTTGGTAGTGTCGATTCCCACAACGCCTGCTGTTGTTCTAGCAGACGTTTCCGCCGTTCTGGACCGCCCAAATCATCAAAAGGCTCAAATTGCATCAACACTGTCGCATTGTCGCTCGCAGCAGACGCAGTAGAATCGCTCCACGTGTTGGCTCTGACATGACCCTTCTCCCACATTGAAGATGTTGCTGTGCCATCCCCTTGGTCACCAAGCTGCTCCAGCCCAGGCTTCCTCCGCACACGTCTGAGTCTTCCAGCAAGACCGCGCTTCTCAGGTACAGCCATGTTGTCCAAGTTAATCGAGAGGTCAAAATCTTGGTCATCTCGAGGAGTTGTCGCGCTCTTTGCAATGATAGGAGATCCAGGTAAAAGTTCGCCAATCGCACCCTATTGAAAAAGTATGAGATTAGTAACTTTGGGGTGCGTAGTGAGCGGGCTGTAAGCCAAAAGTTAGTGCTGCTCTATATGCAATAATAAATAGCCCTGAATCGTGGGAAATTCGGTAAGCTTCAGTTGCAATACATACGGGTGAGTTGAGCATGCTCTGACGCTTGTTCCTGCTCTTCTTGATGTGGCTCTTCAACGCACTCGAATCGAGTGGCTTTAACAGCTCAAAGCTGCATAGCAACTCTCCAGAAACCGACATGACCGCACCCCAATTGTCAAACTCGCCGCAATACTAGTTGTGGTCAGTTCGAGTGAGGTGCAAAGCTTTCCGAATAGATGAAACGTACATTGGGTGCCGAGAATACAGTGACTAGTACTCTGTCATTGAAGAACTCGTAGCCGTCTTCGACAACCATGTGAGCTCGACAAACAAGATCGAAGTCATGCCGTTGCAGAAATTCCATAATGACCTTCTTGCCAAAGCAATAACTGACGCCTCGTTCATTAGATTCCCAGTCATTTTCCATATCCGCCGGATCACTCCACAGCAGGTCGTTCAGCAGACCGTAGTCTGGTACATCGGTGGGCCTTGCAATTTGTCGAATATCATCCATGTGAGACAAGCTCGGAGACAATCCGCCATGCACACAGAAAATCTTTTGTGCAACAATGGCTGCAATGGGTAACGTGTTGAAGGTATCCACAAAGGCTTTCCAAACCTTGATGTTACATCGTCTCTTGCACTCGTCGTAAAAGCCGTATACTCGCGTGACGTTGGCACATTCGTGGTTGCCGCGTAGGAGGAAGAAATTCTCGGGGAACTTGAGCTTGTAGCAGAGAAGTAGCAAAATGGTTTCCAAACTCTGCTTACCGCGGTCCACGTAGTCACCGAGGAAGAGGTAATTTGAGTTGGGAGGAAATCCGCACATCTCGAACATGCGGATCAGATCGGTGTATTGTCCGTGGATATCGCCAACGATCTTGACGGGCGGTGCCAGTTCAAGAAGTGCCGGCTGGCTCAGAAACACCTCTCGCGCCGCTGAGCAGATGGCAAAGATCTCTGCATTCTTTAGGCTGACGGTCTTGGTAACCTTGCCAGCGTAAGCTGCATCCAGCAGTCTTTGTATCATGTCATCCAAGTCCATTGACTTGAGTGCGCTGATCTCCATTGGCGAACCTGAGCCATCGGTCGGGGCCGGAGGTTCTGGGAGCCTTGGAATTGGTTGGCCCTTCTTCTGTAGGATGGACTCCCCTGGCTGAGCCGAGGCCAGTGGGGGTGGGATGCCCGTTGGTGGCACATCCGACACGTGGTCGACTTCGCCTGATTGCTGGGCCCTGCTCACTCCTTCGTGTCCATGGCCCACGGATGCGCTTTGTACGGGCGAGGGCGGGGCTTCAGGTTCGTCGGCGGGAAGCGAGTCTTTCCTATCAAGTGTCTCGATGGGCAGCTCGGGAGCAGCAAGCGCTGAGGCGTTTGAGCCCCTTCGTGAGCTTTTGCCACCGCGGCTCTTGTCTGATTTGGTAGAGGCAGCATCTGTTTTGTCAGGCTTGCCATTGACGTCACCGAGATTAGCGACCGAATTGCGTGGACTGTCGGTCTTTCCGGAGCCGGGGATCTTGGATCGTAGCGAGTTGCGGATCGAGCGCGACGAGTCTTTGGTGTCGGACCTCTCGAATGAGCGATAGTACTCGCGGCCCAGAGGAGCACCATCGGCGCCCGACTTGTCGCCTTTGGCCTTTTTTTCGCTGGATGGCTGGTTACCCATGATGCGGGCTGGGTGCTATTGGATGTAGCAAGCCGTCCAATGTATGTCGGGTTGTGTCTTGTAAGATTTCGGATGCTTAGGGTAGATTTGAGGAAGCTACGGAGGGAGGATAGGTGGGTGACGTAGAAGTCCCAACAGCTGGTGGGCACTCTGTAGCCCTTGCTAGATCAGAATGTGGCAGTTGCGATGACGCCAAGTGTGCGGGTATGAGTGTGTGGAGGTGGGTTGCGAAGTAGATGGCTGGGTGGGTAGGTAGGTAGGTGGGAGGGTGGATAGATAGGTAGATAGGCCACACGGGAGAGCCTGGATTAGGGAGGGCGATAGAGACGCGCGAGAAAGGCAAGATAGCAAGCCTCCGTCGGCCCTGTCGTTATCTGCTTCGAGGGACACTGGCCGTGCCAGGTCAGCGTAGGGAAGGCGACGGGGGGAGAATGCGAATCCTGCTTGCGCGCCAGAGCGGTGGTGTCTGGGCTGAGGAAGAAGAGGGGGGCGCTGGTGGTGAGAGCTCACGATGGGTGGGCTGGGGGCATGGGGCGCAGGCGGTCGAGGTTTAGCAGTTGCAGTCTAGTGGGTTGCGGTGATTGCCAGCTTGCGTCTACTCTCTGGACAGCACCTTGGGGAGGCAGTGTAGGGGCGGCAGTGTAGTGTGTAGTGTAGTGTAGTATAGTGTAGTGTAGTGTAGTGCAGTGTAGTGCAGTGTAGTAGTGTAGTAGTGTAGGGCAGGAGGGCCAGCAGAGCGGGGAGTTGGGAGGGTAAGGGGAGGGGAGGGGACAGAATACTAGAGCTACGATGGATCAATGGGCGGTGCCAGGCGCAGGCGCAGGCGCAGGCGCAGGTAAGCCGCAACGCCTTTAGTCGGTTCCTGCGAGCGAGTAGCCGATGGGCGGGCTCTGCGGACCGGTGAATAAGAAAGCGTTGTAGGTGTGCTAGTGGAACCAGCGCGCAAGCTAACTAGTCAGAGCCCAGACAGCTGCGGAGGCGAGCGATGCGATGTGATAGTATGTATGTGGGTAGGTTAGGCGTGTACCATACAAGTAGAGTGTACACCGCAGCCTTTGGCCGACACGAATTGGGGGTGTGGTGTTTTGAGACCGTTGGCTTAGCGAGGGGCAGTACAGCGAGGAACCGTTTTGTTTTTTTCAGTCGCGTGTGTGCGTGTGTGCGTGTGTGCGTGTGTGCGTGTGTGCGTGTGTGTGTGTTTTATGTATGTGTGTCTGTGTCTGTGTGATGAGTGTGTGGGTGGTGAGGTTCGCATTATTCCCGTGATTTGCCAGCCCTTTGGTGAGCAGAGCCTACCTAGGCCAAGACAGCAGACAAGGATCAACTTGCAGCAGCCACACCCAAAGAAAAGTTAGGAAACCATGCTGTGACACTTTTTTGCCTGTCCACGTCGCTGATCAAGGGCATGGGCTAGCCACGGCTCACAGACGTGTCCATTGTGGCTCCCATACTCTAGGTACAGCATGGCCAGCTTTGTGAAACGCATTTGGATTTGGGCTGGCAAATTGCGCTGTGCCTAGGTAGCAGGTACAGTACATGGATGATACTTTCCAGCTTTTGTTTCATCGAGCACCCACATGTTGCTGCTATTGTCTCTTGGACTGGACTGGACTATGTACTACCATCGACATCATAGTGGACCTGACTACCAAGACCCGTTCGCGCAAGCCAAGCAAGACAAGCCCCTCTCTTCTTTCCACTCTTCTTCCTTCGTGACCCCAAGTGGCTATGTGCCTTGTGTCCGTTTTGCTGACCATCTAACTCTTCCTAGGTACTTTAGGTACACAAGAGGTACCCAGCTCCCACACACACCCATTCAAACAACCCTTCATCACTCGCAACGCTCCGCGCCCGCAAAGACAATGCACGCATCCCTTTACCGTTTGCGGTTGTGACAATGTCGGTAGCGGCCCGAAGTCATCATCGGGCACCAGCCTGTGCAGTCCTCATGTCTGCAATTTCACACCGACGACAGCCCTGGAAGAAATGCCTCAACGAGGGTGTCTCTATGTGTGTGTGTGTGTGTGTGTGTGTGTGTGTGGAAATCAAGTATGAACAACATGCACACAAACCTACTCTGCCAACCACCACGATCGCTTGGATCTTCGGAAGGACGTGGTAGAGACCAAGCCGTGGCGCCAAGGACAGACCCGACAACAAGGTCTTGGGGGTACCATGTGACCTGGCTAGGCATTGGGCCATCTCTTGTAACCATACTCACTTACGACGTGGTTGAAAGTGGCCCCCTCCATGGCACCTCCTGAGATGACGCCAAGAGCCGGGCGAAACCGCTGCGTACTCTTCGGGAACGTCAAACATTGCCAACCCTTCACTCAGACATATCTCGAACCTACTTACTCTACATACACAGCAAAATGGCCTTGTCCCTCGGCTGCATGACCTCCACCCTCACCCTACAATCCTCTTCTACAACTTCGTGCCCAGATTGACATGAATGGCCTTTTTGTTGGTATAGGCCTCCAATCCAGCTTCTCCCAGCTCCCTGCCAATCCCACTCTGCTTCACACCGCCAAACGGCACTCTGATGTCCGAGTCGTTGCTCGAGTTGATCCATACCATGCCCGCTTCAATCCGTCTCGCCACACGATGGGCTTTTGTGATGTTCTCAGTGAATACCGCTGCTCCCAGCCCATAGGTCGTGTCATTCGCACGCTCAATGGCTTCTTCCTCCGTCTTGAACGAGCTGATGACAACAAAAGGTCCAAAAACCTCCTCGCGATAGATCTTCATGTGATCCTTGACGTCTGTGAAAATGGTAGGCGCAATGAAAAAGCCCTTCCCACCCGCGTTCTTGTGTGCTTCTCCACCAGCCACAAGGGTCGCGCCTTCAGATTTGCCGGCCTCGATGAAACCGAGAACACGGTCAAACTGTGCTTTGGTGACTTGCGGGCCCTGGAAAGTGTCGTCTTGGAAGGGGTCTCCGACGATTGACGTGGTCTTGACGTGCTGTTTGAAGGACTCGATGAACTTCTCGTAGATGCCTTCCTGGACTAGGACTCGCGAGGTTGCGGTACAGACTTGGCCTTGGTTGTACCTACAGCTCGTCAGTGGGAAAAGAGGAGCGGGCGCGATGTGACTGACATGATGCCAACATGCGTCCATTTGACCGCCTGGTCAAGGTCTGCATCGTCAAAAATCACGAGAGGTGATTTCCCACCCGTTTCCAGGGTGATGTTCTTCATGTTCACAGCAGCCATCTTCATGATTTCCTTTCCAGTAGCTGTTGAGCCAGTAAAGGCGATCTTGTCAACGTCCAGGTGCTGAGCGAGTGCGGCGCCAGCTTTTCTGCCCTCTCCGTTGATGATGTTGACAACACCTGGTGGGAAACCAGCTTCCTTAACGAGACTGGCAAGATAGAGAATGGAAAGCGGTGTCTGCTCGGCTGCCTTCATAACGATGGTGTTGCCTGTGCAGAGAGCAGGTCCCAGTTTCCACGCAGCCATTGCGAGAGGGAAATTCCATCTGCATTTGCTTAGCTGAGACTCGAACAGTGTATACGAGACACCTACGGGATGATCTGTCCGCAAACACCAAGTGGTTCACGAAGAGTGTACGCAAGCTTTGCTGGGCCAGTGTCGATGACCTGTCCGTGAATCTTGTTCGCCCAGCCTGCATAGTATTTGATGGTTCCAACAACCTCTCCCAGATCGTCATTTAGCGCAACGGAGTAAGGCTTGCCATTGTCCCATGTCTCGATGGTCGCAAGGGTCTCCTTGTTCTCGTCGATTAGCTGGGCGAATCTGTAGAGTAGATCCGCACGAGCGTTAGTGTCCATGTCTCGCCAGTCAGGATTCTTGAAGGCTTTTCGTGCTGCTGCGACGGCGTCGTCTACATCTTCCGGGCCAGCTGCGTAGACGGAAACAATTTCGCTTTCATCACTAAGTCCTGTCAGCCAATGGATCTGCAAGGACCGCCTGAGGGCAGACGTACCTTGGATTTATCGAAGTGATGGTCTCTCCAGATTTCGACTTGACAAACTCGTTGTTGATGAACAGTCCCCTTGGCTGCGAATACTTGCGGCCATTGGGCGCAGTGAGCTCAACAAAAAGATCAGACATGTTGCTTCTGGTACCAGTGTAGAGCCTCCAGATCGGCCGGCGGCTAGCTTCCAAAGCTCTTGATGTTCGGCTTTGCAGGATACTTGAGGGACAGCGACGCAGAGAGGTGCGGGCAAAAGTGGCGTAAAGACAGGACATTCCCCTCAAGTTGGCGAAGAGATCAGCTGCTTATGTATCTACCGGTAGTAGAGTAGGTAATCGATTAGATAACCTGCCCGCAGTCTTGGAGGCAACTGGGAAGTAGCTGACCCCTCTTGTTGTGGACCCCGCCACAGGTACGGTACGACGAACGAAAGCTAGCTGATGCGCATGGAGATGCCTGTTTCGGCTGAGAGAACCCCCACCTGTTCACCGTTCAACATGGCTAGGGTAGCTGTAGGATTGGTACTGAAACTGGAGTAACAAGTAGCAATAGATATGGTGAAGCATTTGCCAGACATGTCAGTCGCCATCGTGACTGTCGTGCTTGTACGGTTGTACCTGGCCAGGGATTATCCCCCCGTCATGTCTGGCCGTCGGCATCTCGGCGGTAAACTCCGTGCCCTAACTAGGTGGGGTAGATAGGTAACCGCACATAGCCCCTCATCGCGCTTGAACGCGCTAGGCTGCTCACTTGTACCATAGACCCACTAAACAAACAACACGCATGATGTAACTCACCCCACAACAATTCTTCCCCTACATACCTCCCCTCCAAATCCATAGCAGGTCATTACTATCGCAAATTCTCTAGACCACTGCCGTTCGTGCGGCATCCACCATTCATTCTACTTGACCTATCTCACTCTGCTCATGAGCCTCGAACCACGCTGCCACGCACAACAGCAATGGACATGACTTCCGACCCCCCCTTCAGCCCCCACGACCCCAATCGCCCGGATGCATCCATAAACGTCGATGCATCCCTTACATACTGGAACAGCGTCTCCTCGGACAACAATGGCATGCTCGGCGGCTATCCCCAGACCTCGCGCATCGACCTACAAGGCTCATCCAATTTCCTCACCAAACTTCGCCGGCTGCGATCACAGGCTTCTCCGAAACAGCCTTTGCCACCACTAGACCGTGTTGCAGATTGTGGTGCGGGCATAGGCCGCATAACCAAAGGCTTGCTGTTGCCTGTTGCGCAGCGGGTCGATGTTGTGGAGCCGGTGAAGAAGTTTACAGATGAATTGGTGAACAGTCTTGGAAACGGCGAGTATGCGGGCGATGGAGAGGCAACGGGAGATAAGGGGCAGGTGGGCGCCGTTATCAATCTGGGGCTGCAGGACTGGATACCAGAAGAGGGCGCGTACGATCTGATATGGAACCAGTGGTGTTTAGGACACCTAATGGATGCACAGTTGGTTCTATATCTGCGGCGGTGTGCGGCTGGTTTAAGAAAGCCAAGGGAAAGGGAAGACAAGGTTGCGGCTTGGATTGTGGTCAAGGAGAACCTGTCGACGGATATTAGGCACAAGGATATATATGACGACGAGGACTCGAGTGTGACACGGTCGGATGACAAGTTTAGGAGATTGTTCCAGGAAGCAGGTCTGAAGATCCTGGCTACTGAATTGCAGAGGGGCATGCCGAAAGATTTATTTCCGGTCAGAGTGTATGCGCTTAGGCCAGAGTGAGCCAGAGCATCGCGCCTGACAAGGGCACAATCAGCAGCTCAACAGGGCAGAAATCAACGTCTGCATCATTGCGGACTATCATGCTCATTTCCCACCCGCCTCGCCCAAGACCATAAACTTGTGTATGAATCCTAATGGCAAAACAGGTTGTCCAGGCACAGGTTGGTGCACAGGAGGCTTGACTGACGCCACATCCTGTGTAGCACCCTTGGTTACCACGGTGGATGGTGCTGAGACTGCCACTTCCGGCGCTCCAGATGTGTCCATGGCATCTTCAAACTCTCCTTCGTCTTCGTCTTCGTCTTCTTCATCTTCATCTTCTTCATCTTCCGCACCTGCATCGTCACCATAGATGTTCGGATATGTCGCCTTGAGATATTCCTGATCGAAAGCCTCTTGGTGCGCCATTCTCCACATCTCCACAATATCGGCTTCGCTCAATGCGCCCTTGACGCGCTTCAGTGGCATAGCATTTGCATCTTCTCTCGTGTCTTCATCATCGCCGTCTTTCTCATCGTCTTCCTCTTTGGCTTCTGGTTTCTTGGGCTCGATACCCCACGCTTCCGGGACCTCTGCAAACTCCGCCGCTTTCTGCAACCTCTTTCCCACCCAGCCCTCCTCCATTGGCTCCAATCTCTTCCTCAAAAGAGTATTTGCCATCCCCTGGGCGTGCGGTAGGTGCATTGGAAATGGTGGGATGGGGAAAGGATGCAACGCTTTGATCCTGTCGCCTTGGCCTGGATTGTGGATGTCGCGATATATCGTCTTTGTGGCTTCTTTGCCACTATCCACAGGATTTCCCAGATCGTCCTTAATGATGTTTCCGTTTTCATCCAGCTTCGGTACCTTGGTCACGATGTCTTCGGTAGTGTGTTGGTATCCACCGTGGATCATGGTATTGAAAGAGTTAATGTAGTTAGAGACTATAGTCGTTGTATGCTGAATTTGTGGCCTATATGGGGGGTCAGAGAAGAAATTGTAGATTTGGCCTCTGTACAAAAGCACTCTTTCTAACATGGCATTGTTGCCCGGATGCTTGTATATGGTCGTCGGTATATGTGGCATGATCGTGAAAGTGGAAATAATGTTACGGTTCAGTTGGACAAACGCAAAAACGACTTACCAATCGACGGCAAGCCCTCTCTCCATTTTGAACTGCATTTCATGTTGTAATTTAGTCATGACCGCGATCATAGGCAGTAGCTGGCGGCGTAGTTGATCTAGGATCCGTAGGTCGTCGCGATCAGGCGCGCCCTGGAAATTTTGATTCATCTCGTAGTCGATCCAGCTCTTTCTTTAAGACTGTCACGCGTGTGTATCTTAATGATAGAATTGATGAGTAGTATGATTTCGACCAGAGTACAGGTGGTTTGGTGAAGTGCACGCGCAGGAAAGGCTATTGGCTTGAGCGCACAGCCCGGACGAATTGGGGAAAGCGCCTTGGCGTCATGATGCCTAGAGGTAACAAACAATACCTACATGCATCCACCTCGATCACAACTGCTTCTTTCACTTCTATCACAAGATCCAATCATCTGCGTCAGCTCCCACTTAAGCTCGCATTTTTTTTGGCTGCAATGTGTCTCGAATATTACCTGTATCCAACGTGTACAGATGTACTAGAACGGATTTGTCCATGCCAGAACACTCCTCGCTCACCTGTGTCCTCGATTTTGTAATTGATACTCGTAATATATATGTGGCCCCTTTGCTCAAAACTTTGAGGAAACCTTTATACCTCAAGCCTTGATTACTAACAGTACCCTGTCCCATGTGCTGTATAGGCAGGCGTCGACTTCATGTGCTGATGCTACCTTTTGAGCAGTAGGCGGGTGAGAGTCGCATCGTCTGAGGCGTGTTCCGGGTGGACATAGAAGCTTCTGTGGCTACGGTGAACGCTCGAGTGCTCCAGGTTTCACTTTCAGACCGAGTCACAAGTAGCTGGTCTTGCACTCTCACCGCCCGTTTGTCGAAACTTGGTGTTTAAAAGAGCACCTGCCTCGATTGTTATAATTTGTCCACACTTTCAGTACACTCGAACCCTTTTACCCAGCACTGACTCATATTACCAAAGAAACCCCTGTGCACGCCCAAAATTACCGTCCAACGGACAGGACGAGCACTGATTTTCGCTGGACTCTTTCCAGGTGAAGGTGGCTGCTACTTGCTGCGCCACCCTGCTAGTAGAACCAAACGCCTCGACGTGGACGGGTAAGGGTCTCAGTTACTCACAATAGCAACGGTGGTATTGTAGTAATTTGGAGCCTTGCGCCACTTAGCCCCAACTGCTTATTTAGACAAACTAGCCTGCAACATTGCCATTATAATAGATACCCCGGTTTTCACTCTGAGAGCCAAAGAACGGGACAGACCAGAAACTTTCTATAAACTGTGTAAACGAGGTTGGTTATTCCGCTTACTCATGGCCTGTACTGTCCGCGCTGACGATTTGCAGAGCACTGATCCCTCGTCAGAGAAGAGGGTCACTCAGTACAGAACCAGCAACTCCAGTCATCGAGGCGACCCAAAATTATTAAATATAGCTATGAGGCTGCCGTTCGAGGATGAAATTTACCTTGGTGGCAACGAATGGCAAGCATCTGCTAATGATGAGCATCCTTTCACCAACCTCATACGGGAAGCCATCAAAAAGCATCGCATCCAATCTCTAGAACACCATGCTAGGAACATTGACGTAAATCAATCCAACTCCAAACGGAATCCAAGAAAGGAACAAACTCTCACTCCGCAGTTCAAGATGGAGGTTGGCTTTCACCATTGGTGTCGTGGCCCCATTACGCGACTATGCGGTCCGGAATCTCAGAAAACCTCGCGCAATAGCCCTCGCTTCATGACCGATAACATCGTAGTTTACGAGGAAGGAGTTGCATTCCCCCTTGCAGAATTCTTGGAGCTGCAATTTCCGATTCTTGATGAACTACCGCTACCCAGCTCCGAAATGTATAAGTGGTGGTGCAAGAACGGTAAAACTTTCAATTGGGAAGCACTACCTACAGAGCTCAAAGAGAATATCGTTAGCCACTGTTTTCGCGATACGCCTTTTACAAGCATAAGGCCACCCCCAAGACGATACCTGAAGAAGACAACGCCGCAACCCTACGAAGTCACTGATCACTTTGACAACGCCTCATCACTCCTCTGTGTCTCTCACCAAGTTCGGTACATTGCACTTCGAGTTTGTCTACAGGGAATCAAGGGACATCCCGTTTGCCAAGGCTTGTCTGTCGGGGTTGTCGGTGGTGGTCCGTTGGACAAGTGCATCAGACGCTTAGGGAACTTTCACCAGATGTTACACCCCGAGGGAGTTCCGGTGGACGAAAAGACCGCAGAGCTCGCCATGCTATACAAGCAATACCCGAGAATCTATCCGCAGCTCAGCCAATACGCTACCTTTGCTCATGGTATCCGTAGAGTTTGCATGCGTATGGACTTCCATTCCTACTTCAGTTTCTTCAAGCTCACTAGTCATGGTCTAAGGGACCACTGGTCACGCTTCAACTCTGGCTACGAGATGCTTGAACAATTGCCTGCTTTGGAAGTCGTCGTACTCGAACTACCTGAGCCTGAGGGAACCAGCTCGCGTTACCGACCTTCACGCATGATGCCACCTCTGTTTTACCGCGACCACGAATGCCCACGCACCCTGCACCGGTTGATATACGAAAAAGCAGCCGAAGTTTTGGCCCTCTATCCCGTCGTCGCGGTGTTCGGCTTCATCGATGAGCTCGAGAAGGAGCGTTTCTATTCGTTGCGCAGGGCTGCCATTGAAGGCCTCAAATTCACCAGCGACGAACTGGCTGACTTGTACAAAGATGATGGAGGTGGCATCGAACTCGAAGAAATTGTCAATCCCGGTTTGCTACCTCACGAGATTGAGGAATGCCGTGAAGGGACTCGGAATGGCCTCATGAGCCGTGAAGATCTTGCTTTCTGGCCACCGAAGTGCAGGTGCACCGTTCCATGCTCCAAAGTCTTGCACCCAGATGATTAAAGCGCTTCTCGTTCGAGGTAGGGAGGGGCCAGACTTGCAGTGGAGTTTTATCATTCTGGACACAACTTCTGGAGTTACGGGACAAGACGGCATCTGGATACAGGATGGGAAAGAAGTTGCATACTGGTGGCTTTCTTCACTTGCACATGAAGGCCCGTTTGATTTTTGCGTCTGTTCATGCGGGATTCTACAACATCTTGCACTAATACTTCCATGCTTCTATCATAACAAGATATGTGATCCTACACTGGGCTGTTTGTATTTGCTCGGACCATTCATGCTTCTCCTTGCTAGGATGACACTGCTCTCTGTCCTCGTTCAAAGGACAGGCGACAGTCTCAAGGCCTGATTCTCCCGAATGTAGTTAGTTTTCTTTCAAATATATATGATGCAATGTCAATCTTTTCTTTATGGACCTTGTTTGTACAGACAGTGCAATAAATATCGTGAGAAGAGAGGACTTATTACGGCACAGGTGATGTGTTTTTCAATCAATTCGACCATACTTTGGGTTTTCAAAGCTTTTTTACGGTCGCGAGATTTTCAATCTTCTCGGTGATTTCAGAAATATATAGGTATTCTCGGGCGTAGATTGCAGGTGTAGGACTATCGACGGCAGTAGTACTATGAATACGTACCGTATGCCCTGCGCCACAGGTGGCACACAGGAAACCCGCGGGCAAGTTTAAGCGAGTTTCCCCGCGGGAGTCTCTTCCCTTCTCCCCCATGCCTCGCAACAAACCCCGCGCAAACTTATACACACCACCAGTAACACAATATCCATATCCAGTCTGCGCAAGAGTCTCATATACAGCCAATCAACATGGCGACTATCAGGCCCATGCGACCAAACGATCTCCTCAGAATATCATGCACAAACCTTGACCACCTCACGGAGACCTACAACATCGGCTTCTACCTCGATTACCTCACGAAATGGCCGGAACTATGCCAAGTTATAGAAGGCACAGATGGCGAGATAGAAGGCTACAGTAAGCATGAATAAAAAAAACATCTTCATCGTTGCTACCACCCAAATCTCTTCTATGAGTTTCTCACACAAAAACAATGAGAAGAACACGGACAACTTAAGGATTAAGTAGATAATTAAACTAACCACACCCCAAACACAGTCCTAGGCAAACTCGAATCCTCCCCCTACGCACCCCCAATAACACCCTACCACCCCTCCACCACCGGCCAATCCTACCCAAACTACCTCCCCTGGCACGGCCACATCACTGCGCTGACCATCGCGCCTAGCGCGCGCCGCCTCGGCCACGCAACCGCGCTCTCGTCTGCGCTCGAGCGCGCCTCGGACGCCGCCAACGCCTGGTTTGTGGATCTTTTTGTGCGCGCGAGCAACGAGATTGCAAAGGAGTTGTATCGCAAGATGGGGTATAGTGTGTATAGAAGGGTGAGGGAGTATTATAATGATGGCGAGGATGCGCTGGATATGCGGAAGCCGTGTGGGAGGGATAAGGAGAGGGGGACGGTGAGGGCGGATGGGGATGCCTGGCTTGTTACGGCTGATGATGTGTGGTGAGGTGTGGGGGTTTGGCCGTGAATGAGTGTTTATCTTGGGTGTGGGCGAGGATAGTGGGGCATGGGTTACTGAGATGGGACATGCGGCGTTAGTACTGGACAATTGGGGTGATCATGATGGATGAGGGTTGTGCTGGGTCACATGTACCTATCACCATACAGTCATGAAGCTCGCCATGAGGAGTAAGTTCAGCAACCATTGCGCGTCGAAAACATTCACTAAAAAAGCTACAGGTGCAGATCAAGATTCAGATTGGCCACCCATGACGATGCCATTAAGATTACAATAGAACGGGTATATAGCAAGCCGCAAGAAAAAAAAATCGATGCCTCCCAACCCTGCTCGATGCATACATAACAAAAGAAAAAAAACGTCCTGGGGAGCTGCTCATAACGACCGTATCTATCGTTTGTCCAGAACTTCTTGGGCAACTATCTAAATAGCAAAAGAATCCGCACTGCGCTCGCGTTGAAGCACGTTCTCTTTCATCGACGAACTTGCAGATTTCATCGAACCTCTCTCATACACGGGCGATTGCGGAGCATACCGAGGACTAGATGGCCGGCGTAGGGCATCTACATTCAGATGGCGAGCTACATTGTGACCATTGGACACAGTAGGGCCATACACGGCTGGCCCAAAAGCGCAATGCGAGGAGAAGGAATCACTCCTCTCAGCATCATCTTCGAAGCCGTCGAGTCGGTTATCTCTCTGCAGTCGCTGAGCCCGGATATCGTTGGACACAGGGGGAGCTTGGCGGAACCTACGTACGGGCTGCGAGTGATCCTTTTCATCAACGAGGACAACCATCCATACACCTACTGCTCCGGATGAACCGAGCAGTGGCGTACAATGGATCCAGCGCGGCCGGCCTTCCTCTTGGCTGTTCTCGAGGTCTGCAACCGCGTGGGGGAGCCAACGGACTTTTGCGGTTACGCCGCGTGAGCCATCTGCGAGGGCGCTGCCGAGGGATTCACGGACCCGATTACTGCCGCCAATTCGATCTAGGAAGCGAGATTGAAGTATTCCAGGGACACGGAGGGAGGGCGAGGTGAATAGAATCCGTAGAGAAGGTGCTGGTCGGACGATGAGGTACTTTGAAGAGCTGATGAGCATATATTTTGGCAGCATGGTTTATGATTCCACTTACGTGCTTATATGGCCCGGAGAGTCTGCCGTCGGGTTTTGGTGGTGGCTTCTCCGCTTTGTCAACATCATATGTTGATTGATCCTGGATCAATAATCTTGGCTTTTGCGACGAGTTTGGTCTCCCGTCCTCCAATTGCTCCCTGTGCATGCTACCCCCATACTTTCTTACAGTGTCGAGCTCAACATGATTGAACATTTCACTGAGTTCTTGAAACTCATCTTTCAGCGGATCCTCCTCTTCTTTGCCGTCTTGCTGCGCTAGCATACGCTGGAAAGCGTCCAGGTCTGTGCCATCTTTTACAAGGCCTGAGACATCGATTTGCGCGCCGATGAAGTAACGGAGGTTGCCGCGCGAATCGAGCAGCGGAGCTATCATCAGCAGATTCATAAAGGGCGAGCCGTCCCGGCGACTGATATGAAGGTTAACCATCATCCGCATGATCTTCGAAGTGCAAGGACGTACTAGTTTAGAAACACTTCACTGTGGTCTTTGCCTTCGATGGCGGCTTGCTTGAAGCGGGCGACACTGCTTCGGTTCGTCTTCGGGCCTTGCAAAAAGCGGCAGTTCCTTCCAATGGCGTAGCTGACCCCATATTGTGTAGTGCGATGGAATTCTGGAAATCGTCAATCCTGGGGTTATGCACATCGTCGACAAACTACTGACCTTCTGATGCAAAAATGATGGGGTTATCAGATCTGGACGGATCTGACAGGCAGAAGACTTCTGCAAGTCCCTCGCTGGCCTCTCTGAGCAAAGGAGGTAGAGCTCCTGTGACGCGCTTGGCAATGCTGACGCTAACCACCTGGACAAAAACGTGGGTGATGAATGCTGGCAAATCGTCCCGAACAAGCACATCAAATGCTTTGTTGGCTTTCTCTTCTAAAACTGCGTTCATGGTAGGTCGTGCTGCTGTTTGCGTAAAATCCAACCCTTCAATGGGGTCCAATCCTTCTGCTACGGCGTTTGCGTAGCTGATTGCTCGGAGTGCTTTTAATGCATCAAGATAGTAGATTAAAACTGGAACTGATTGTGGTCTTGCAGCGCTGAGAAATGAGGTGAATCGAAGTAGAGATGAAGTGTCCTTGAAAATAGCCTGGAGATGTTGCTTGGAAAATAGTTGCTCGGAGCGCTGCTCCAGTGAAAATTGCTTCCGTCCATTGTCAACAGGGGCGGAGACAAGGTCAAATGAGCAAGGGTCGTCTTCGAGGAGAGGTGCAAGACGGTCGACGTCATCCGCAAGACCTTTCTGCTGCAGAGGGACGAGAGCGTGAGTAGCAAATGATGGTGCCGATGATTCGTAGGACATGACAGAAGCATTCGAGCTGCGGAGTGTGGTAGGTGCTATGCTGCGCCCACGGGGGGACTCTGAAGTATGTGGTGCAATGTTGCTACCCGGAGTTTGGGACCCATCACGGGTCCTACTCTGGTAGGGATCGGGCGTGGAAGGCATGAAGAATGAAGCTGCGTCGCAACTCAATCGTCTTTGCATGCGTATTCGTTTTCTTTCCGCTTGCGGTGTACTTGAGCTGAGACCGATTAGTAAGATTGCCCTTTCGCCTAGCACATTCACGTTTGCTACCTTGTCCTCGAGGGAATGTGTATATCACGCCTGGAGGCGAAGTCTGGGGGAGGGGGAGCAGCATTATCATCGTCAGAGAACCAATGTTCCTCGGGATCGACATTTGATCGATCGGGCGTGCGCGGAGCCCTCCGCTCGTTTGAGGCTGGCTCATCGTGCATTATTGCAAAGTCAACAACGAATGGTTCACCGTTCCCGTTCGGATTGGGTGTCATGACGCTATCGACGGACGCCTGGACCCCCTCGCCCGCCTTTCCCTTTTTGGCCGGACTGATGCTGATGCTAGATGCTTTGAAGAGGTTAGAGCTTTGTTTGCTGGGATAGATGCCATGGACAGTTCGTTTTTCCTTTCTGAAGAGAGGCATTGTGATGGTTTACAAACGACACACCTGGCCATCGAGGAGAAGCGTCCATATGTATGGTACCTATTGGCGGTGGACAACACATTAGCAACGCATCCAAACAGCCAGGGTGGGACCATGACGACGGAGGGGCTGCACTAACGTAGACGTACCCTAGGGATTTACCGCTGGCGTTGACACGTTCACAAGGAACCCTTGAGATGGCCCAATGCACGCCTGGGCTGTTTTTTTTTTGCTGGTTGAGTGTGTCGCGCCCGTGTTGCAAAGTCCTGCCCTACGCTATCTTGGCGGTGTCGTCGAAAGTAATCAGGCCCAATTTCCTTGCCAGAGCCAGAACGCATGCACACTCGGGAGACGCAAGCCGAGATTAGTGACGCCTGCCAGGCAGCTCATGCAAGGTACGAGCTACGGCTGAAAGGTGATCGTGTGTCCTGCCTTCGGCCACTGGAGGCCGGACGGATGTTGCAGCACGACTCAATCGGTCGGTGCTATTCTCTCAGGCACGGTACCGGTATCGGTATCGTATGTGAATGTGTGTGTGTGTGCCAGTGTAGTGATTCAGAGCTCAAATCCAGCGGCGTCGCTGCCCAGCGTCCATCAGAGCGACAGAGAGGCACGGCTGTCGCTGTAGAAGCATTGTAAACGATGTAGCCACTTTGGATCCTCACGCCGTCTTTGCGTTCAGGAATCAGGAGGTTGTGGGAGCCGGGGTGTTGTCAGCTCCAGCCAGCTGGCAATGCATTTTAGGAAAGGCGCCACGTGTCTAAGACCCAAAGCGTGATCATCCTAGTGCAAATCCCCCCCATGGTCTTTCAACACACAAGGACAGCCTGATTTGCTTCCTTGCACGAGCTCGAGACTGGGATGGCATGTCTACAAAGTCTGCACCACGACTCGGCCAACTCATCCGCAGCAATACTGTACTGTACCCACCCACATTGGGTTTGGAAGTTGTCAGCCACAGCTCTCTCCATTGCTCTACCGGTAGGTAATTCTCCGAATGGGGCCTCCGATATTGGGAATGGAAGAGTAATGAGCACGTCTTCCACACAAGATGTCTTCAATGACTGGATTTTCGGCGGGCTTTCTGCAGTATATAACATGTACTCACGTGTGATCGGTCATTCAAGGTGATTCTTTGCTGAGGCCTGTCACTTTCTAAGTCATCAGTGCTTTCCGCATTTTTCCCGCTGGGCAGTGAAGCACGAGTGCCAATGCTCAGGCCACTGAAGAGTTGCTCCCCAGCGACTGACCAAGAGACGTAGTATGTGGTATAGATCGCGTGCAGAGCGCCACTGATGTTTCCATCGCCCAGATCCGTATCTCTGCAGTCAGCTTTCGTTGACGGAAATCTAAAGATATTACGCGTGGGGCAGGAATTTCGGAAAAATGAGGGTCTAATCAGCCTGAAATGGCACATGCTTACTCGTACGATAGTATCTGACCTCGAAAGAAGACGTAGATCATTGACCTTCGCCGATTGTACCTGCACACAACACTGGGCTTGACAGGGGGTCCCTTCAGCTACCAGCCGGGATCTTCTATCCGATCTCTTTCAAGATTAGCACGAGATGCAACATTTCGGTCTCTTTGCAACGGTCGTGGACGCCTCCTGTCAGACTAACCTAAGCGAATATGACAAATGGCGCCAGATGTCTGCAGTGACGATCACGGCTGGACAGTGGAGATATGTAATGTCGCTGAAGCGTGTCTACTGAAATTCCACAAGCACCATATCTTCTTCTCGTGGTTAAGTACAATCGAAAAAAATACGAGCAAAAGTCCAAGAAAGTGTGGTTTCAGATCTCAGATTAATCTTGCATAGCCGTAGATGATGCATATCGTATATGTCGTACATATTCACCAGACCAACAGAGTCCGTGCGGCACCCATGTCCCATCTGGCTGATCGACATTATCAACACCTAAAGAAGTCACCCTGAATATTTCAAGTTTTTTTTTTCACATAAGCTGACTCGCTCTAGAACTCCCCCGTACCTCATGTCAGTCCTCTGATCTTCATCGCTCTTAGTTGATAACTCATGCCATCAAGATGCTGCAGGCCGCGGCGGTACGATCACTCCGGAGCCTGTGCCGCAAGAACAAGCTCACGGCTAGCAGACCGGTGGTTTGAAATTGCCATTATCCCATCAACTATCAAATTCAAGCTCATGAATGAAGCTTACATCCTCGCGACCGAGAATTGCAAAATATATTCACGCCGCGTCACTTATCCACATACCCTTATTACAGTAGCAGTCTACATCAGGGAGGGCCCTGGAACTTATTTCACACTCGGCCTGCGCTACCGGTACAATATGTTCCGAGACGGCGCAGACTCCAGTGCGCGTAAATTACCACATACGATGACGCTTTCCGGCGCCAAGAAGACAACAGTGTGTCTACAGAATTAATTATTTTCGTATCGGCTGCCACTTGAGCAAATGCGTCATTGACTCCTCTATCCGAACGTTTTTACGGCAAGTGTTGTGCTATGACGTACGGTACCGGTAGTGGGTAGTCCCGTGCCATGGCAACAACGTGAATATAGCACCGGGGTTTCTTGATATATTGTATTCTCTCGCAGGGAAAAGCGCGCGAGCCGAGTACTGGGATGCAAACTCTAGAAGAACGGAGATGAGCGATGATCACGCTGCGGCACTACTCGTACATACACTATACCGAGCAGCATTATACCGATCTAGAGTATCTTTGTGCATAAAAACATAATCACAGATGATGACCTACTATTGAAAGCAACTACCAGTTTGGCGATCAAAATTAAAGCACGCCATTGCTACAAAGAGCAACTTCGAAAGGTCGCCTTAGTAGTGCACGTACTCATTCTAACATCTCCAAGAAACGCGATGCTGGCCCATATGAACCGTCATCAACACATCAGATTAAACTTTCACTTTCCAGCTACCATTTCTACCCATCCTCCCTACCTATCCTTTGATCTCTGATCTCTGCCACAGCACTGCACTGCCTTCCAACAACAAGTATGCATTGTGACTAACTACAAAGCCCCTTCATTTCTAGCTTAAAGGACATAAGCGTGGTACCACTTAACCACTTCCGCCTGTGGCCGCGAGCAGTTGAATAGCAATATCAGCCCCAGATCGAGCGTACAGCCGATGACTTGATACAATCCCTCGTCGACAGTCCAGCTATCCCTTCTATTCACAACGGAACTAACCTAGCCAAGAAACATCTTCGCAGTCCCACTCAGCACAAACTCTCTGCCGTCTTTAACAGCTGTCACGACCTCGTGTACTACTCACCTCATCAATACCAGATCATTCCCTCCGCATGGGATAACCGCACGGCACAGCAGCAGTTACACGGCATGAGTGACCACATTCTCAGTTTTTTCTTTCATCCCCAATAACGAGGTTGGCATGTTCATATCCATGCTGCTTCTGCAGGTTAAAGTCAACTTTGTCTACCAGCCGTTCGCAGACGGCGGCAAGATTGGAATATTTTTGCACTGATCAGTACAGCTTGGAGAATTTTCGGGGTGTGGAGAACTGGGTACTGTGTAGTCGTGGGTTGATGGCGAGGTTTGGGAGGATGCGGATGGGAAGGGGATATGAACGGGTTGCAAGAGTGGTGCTTGGAGACGCGTGTTTTAGATAGAGTGCCCTTCTCTGAGGTCTTGCATGGAAGGCGTATAGGCTATAGGTATGATGGAGTTGGGGGGGATAGAAACGGTCATGTAGTAAAGTTGTGTTTTATCATAGCGAGATGGACTGTGTGACAATCTTTGCCTCGGATTTCGATAATATAAAGGTTGATGAAAGATAGTAAAGATTTGGTAAGAAGAAGTCTGTCGCTGACGCAAAGTGTAAAGCGTCATCATTTTCATTCAAAATTGATGACAGGACCAGCAGTGATGCCGGGAATGGTTGATAAATCAAGATTCGTTCGGTATCTTATCAATTGGAACCTGGTACTTGATCATCGCCCTTGACGCGAAACATTTACAGTTCTTGCATCGCGATATCCATTGCATCTCAGTGCACGCAGCCTGCTTCTGCTGCACGAACTCTAGCGTGCTATTATCCCAGACGTACATCAATAGTCTCGCAGCGCGGATGCGGGTAGTCTATTCTTTTGTTTTGCAAATCTAGTCCTGCAGCCATTGAATTATACAGTTTCGGTAAACTAGGATGCTACGGCTAGTCTGGTCGCTAATCCGTATCCTTGACAGCCATCAATATATATCTGGCGTGTTTTACGATCCCCCAGCTCGAGTGACGTGCGAGCTTTATTGGGAGCTTTTCGAGGCGATGCGAGAAATGTTGGCGAGTCATGATGGCATCTTCAGAGCGCTCTGGGCCGTCAGGCCAGTTCACCGTTGCCGGTGTCAATGGTGAGGAGGTCGTCCTGTACCAAATCAAGCCTCATATACAGCGCTTCAATTCCTGTCATTCGCCGATAAGTCGCTCGTGTTCATGCCCGCCTTCTTCATCGTCAATTTCCTTTTCCTGAGGATATCGGTAGAGCACATAGTGCTGCAGCATGAAGATGATATCAAAGACAATCGTGATATTGCTTAGGCCAAACTTGACTGGGTTCCCGGTGACACCGCTCCAGTCGTTGTCCAACGCGGAATCAATGACTAGCTGGGCGAGTGACAGCCACCCGCCTGCGAAATCGAGGAGCATGGGGTAGATGGACCAGCCGATTGTGGATTTGCGCTTATAGTTGACCCAAGCCTGGGGTATGTACTTCAGGAAGACAGTCAGGAGTTTGATGTAGCCGAGTGTGTAGATCTGGGTGTGATTAAAAACGTGCTTGGCTATGCTTGAAGATTGCGGTCTCAAGGAATAGACTTACTACATCTATCCAAGCCCAGCCAAAAGCATCATTCCCACCTTTCAAGCTACGTGACCGCACTAGCAGCACCACAGCGATAATGCTCAGAACGCATGCCCACCATACGGTCAGTATCACACGGCTGACCCTCTGTCTTTTTCCCACTGTAAATCCCCAGATGCTGGGAAAGAACTGGCTATAACAAATCACACACATGACCGCGCCATGCGCTGCGAACAAGAAATCATTGAACCGCACCGTTGTCTCGGGTGCCTCGGGGTGTCTCTGCGCATACTGCGCCTTGATTGTAGGCGAGTATAGAAATGAGGCTGTCGAGATGGTATAGCAGGTGAAGCCGAGGACATTGAGAGTGGGGAAGTCGATCGCAAGGCCCAGGGTGGATTTACGGCGGTAGTTCTCGATGGGTTGTGGGTAGAAAGATGCGCTCCTGCATGTATCGCATAAGTGCCCTGTCAGTCAACGAGGAATAGACGAAATGACGAACCAGCTGAGAAAGTATGCCCATCCTAGTACGCGCGATATCGCCTTCGCAAACGCTTCAAACTCAGGATTTGTCATTGTGTGCTGGTCTGGTAATGGGACTGACAAGGGGGAAATGGCATAGGGTAGGGCATGTGTGTGTATAGGTAGATACGATAAGGTCCCACAAAGAAAGTAAGAAAGGAGAACAAGATCAGCGGAAAGCTTTGGTATTAGCCAGACATGGTAAGGAAGATACTGAAACACAACCTCATGGTGGTAGAGGGCATGATGATGGCCAGGTGAGATTGCGACTGTGTTGCGTAAGTTAAGATGAGGATGACATGCGCACGCGCCGCGAAACGTCGAGATGATGATTCGCTTACTACCGGTATGAGCTGCGAAACGCCGCCGAGAACGAGGCAACGCCGGTCAGACATCGACGACGATAACGACGGTCGCAGTCTGCATCTCATATTTTCAGTGTTGGAAGAGTAAGAGTACGAGAACCCCTTTCGTGGTTGTGATACATAATCCAGGGTCGCGGCTTTGCACACCGATGTTCGAGCATTCCAAAGCGAACTGACCCTGGTAGGCGCTTAAGGTGCCTGCATATACTTGGATGAGCTACTTTTCAAGTGAACACGTCTACTAAGTCTAATGTGAGGTTGTTGATTCAGATTAAGTAGGTTCAAACTAAAACCTGGCCGAGTGCCTCGAGGAACCATGTATAATGCACTCAAAAAGGCTGCGCATAGCTTGAATCTGTCTCTGGACAAGCTGGCAAGCAGTGCTCCCTGCCAATGCCTATCGTGTCAATTCCATAATCAGAAGATGCCTTCAGACCCCATTCTGGGTTTCCACAGTATTCTGCTCAGACAACTCGTCGATATTCGAAGGAATCCGCAACGGCCTCAAGTCTTGTGACCGATTCCCCATCCCTCTTTCCGGAATAGCCAAATCCTTCTTCCAATTCTCCCGGACAAAGTCCAGCGTGCGCGCAAACAGAAGCTCTCGCTCTGACCTCTCATGCTGAGGCACGAAGAGGTCCGGAAACTGTGTCCAGCCGTGTCTGCATTTTGGCGCATGCCAAACTTCTAATCCGCCATTAGGTTTGCTTTGTGGTTCTGGAGAGCTAAAACGGTCACGATTATGGCCATCCCAATCGCCGTCTCTGCCATCGCCAAATCGCACGGGACCATGCCAGTCGTGCTGATTCATGATGTCTACCCATACGTCGCTTTGTACTGCGAGGGAGTCTCTCTCGGGCAGGACGAGAAATATGGCAGCGTTTTGTTGTATGTAGCTGGGCTCAACCAGGCCTGGACTGGCTCGAGGGTGGCCGCGCAGCTTTCTTGGTAGATATGTTGGTCCCATAATCGAAAATAAGCCGGGCATCTTGGGCTTTTGCGCCGTCTTGTCGTCAGAATGTAGGGCGCTAGGGAGGGTCTTCATTGGGCGCTCATGCGGTAACAATCGCGCGTCTAGTGAAGGGTAGAATAGTAGAAGTGGTATCATACGAGGGCGTGCTCGAGGAGGGGGTAGCAGTGAGGGCCAGGGTCGTAGAACGTCATCCAATATTGTTGCTCTACGATTCACGGGCATCGTGGGAGAGAAGCGGTCGCCAGAGCCAGATTTGCTCGCAACGGATTGAGATCGTCCGTCAGAGTTCAAAGCCAAGTCCGGAATCGGTGGCACATTTATAGCCATGTTCAGCGCAATGTTCCCTCCTGCCGAGAAGCCCGATATGGCAAGACGTGACGGATCGAGAGTTATTTTTTCAACATACTCAAGATGTGGCGCTATGGGTTTATTTTTCTTTTCCTCCCGTTCAAGCGCGTCGGTTCGTACCATGGAGTAGTACCGCTGGATCTCCTCTCTAAGCATCTTTCCAGCCTTCGACACTCCGTCTGTGTCCAATATTGCTGACAATACGTCCTCCGCATCGTGGATGGCTGCAGGGAACTGGTGGAATGGCCCAATGCGATACGACACGCTCAAGACAATAGCACCCAGCTCGCGACTCATCATGGATGCATAAGGCGCTTGCTCAAGTGGCGAGCCCATGATGAAGCCTCCCCCATGGAAGTCCAGAACCACTGGCGCGTGCCATTCCTTCGTTCGTTTACGCGCATGCTCTGCGTCGCTATTTTCCTCTAGATCGACTGGTTTGGGCGGCACAAACGCGTATACGTAGATGAGATTATCTTTGCGACTCGGTAGGGATATCAGGAAGGGATGCGGCCCCTTAGGCGATGTGATGTGGAGTATTGAGAGCGGAACGAACCGGGGAATCTGGACCATGGCCGTCCGCCATTGAACTGACTGCCATTAGCTAAAGACATGAGAGGGCCATCTCGGGAGCGATTGTGTACTAGATAGGGGGAGGCGAAAAAAGTAGGCAATCGAGTGCCAGTAACTGCTCATTGTGACTACAGACTGACTGGACTTGTTATTTTGCTCATGATCACGAGAGCACGCGCATGTTGTCAGTCCGGAGCATCCGCATGTTCCAGGGCTGTAGGAAAGTAGGTGGCGTTGGATCTAGGTATGGAGGCGACGCCGAAGCGAGATGACTCCTGTGATTGCTATGACGTCATCATAGCATCGGCTTCGAAACCATAAAGCGTATTATCTGCGAGTTGGATTACAAAAATACCGACAAAGCTTTTGTCGGTGGAGGAGAAAGAGCAATCTCTTTTCTTAGTTACGGTTGTGTACTTCCGCTAGGTACCTACCTGAGGTCTAGGCGGTACCGCCGGTACCAAGACTACTGGTACCTAACACTGACTAAGCTGTCGATGCTTCCCTACTTCAAAACATTGGCACTACACACTTCGCATTACACTTCACACAGCAGGAACATGGTCAAGGTCGGATGTGCCTTTGAAATTTTTGGTATGTGAGCTCAGTTACCCAGAACTATCAAAGCCGTCAATACAGCCATTATGACTTCATGCGAACCCAGCTGCCCAAATCGCTTCGTACCAGTTCCAATCGACACTTTCCCACGTCAAGGCCGTCGTAGACATGAACTGAAGACTTTTCTCGCGCCGGTTACGGTGGACATGCAAAAGTGCAGAGTGAAGACTTCAGAGTTGGCCGCCTACCAAGAGGTAACCTTCTCGTTGTTATCACCATCGGCAGTAAAGCCACCTCCACCAAAACCGTCAGAACCTCCAGCGTTTCCAGTGTCAGCCTTGAAGCCAGTGTCATCACCTCCGGAGCCACCAGCTGCACCAGCGTTGAAGCCACCACCCGCATCGCCACCGAAGCCGCCGCCGAGACCGTCTTCAGACTCATCGTCAGTGCCGTCATGCCAATCGATAGCACTGGGATCTTCGGGCATATGCTGCTGAAGAAAGTCGGGAACTTCTTGTTTGGACTCAATAAGAATCTTGACGAGATCTTTGCCAACATCTTCATTGCGGTCGTTGAAGAACGAGCTAGCTTTGCCCTCGTTGCCAATACGCGCGGTGCGACCAATGCGGTGAACATATTCGGTGATACCAGAATGCTGAGTAGAAGGTAGATCGTAGTTGATGACGTGTTTAACATTAGCAACATCCAGGCCGCGAGCAGTGACGCCGGTAGCGACCATGATGGGACAACGGCCAGTACGGAAGGAACGTCTGATCTCAAGTTAGCTTTGCAAGCCTTCAGCTAAACGATCGGGTTGATTCGACTTACAAGGCATCCTCGCGCTCACGTTGAGTACGATCAGAATGAATCGAAGTTACTGGAAGTCCCTTATTGTACAGGAAATCGTCCACGACGTCAGCTTTGACCTTTGAGTTTGTGAAGACCAGCGTGCGCTGAGGACCCTCAGAAAAGATAAGATCGAACAAGGCCTGATTTTTGGCGCTCTCCTCAACATAGATGATCTGCTGCTTGATGTTTTCGTGAGTACTGCCAACCCTACCGACTTTGATCCTGACATAGTCCTCATCCATGTAGTCCCTAGCAAGCTTGCGAGCAGACTTGGGGAAGGTAGCGGAGAACATGAGGTAGGTGTGATCGGCATCGGTATTCATATCTTGGTAGTTGGTTAGTATGTTCTCTAGAACTGACGCTCGAGTACTATCTTACCGGCACCAGCGAACAGCTTCTCCATGATTTCGTCCCAGCCTTCGGAAAGGAGCTCATCAGCCTCATCGATTACGGTGAACCTGACCATTTTGTTAACTATAAATCTTTTTGAGGGGCCCTAGACTCACTTAAGGCGCTTGAAGGAGAGCAGGGCGTTGTTTGACATGAAATCCATGAGGCGACCGGGGGTAGCGATGAGAACATCACAGCCCAACTCGAGTTGCTCACGCTGACCCTTGGAAGGAGCGCCTCCGTAGATGACGCAGGGACGCAGCATGGTCCGATAGCAGACTATTTCATTTGTTAGCCAGAGCAAGTGTATGGAGACCAGGAGAGGACTTGCGTCGACGGGCCTCATCAAAAGTCTGACAAGCCAGCTCACGAGTTGGACAGACGACAAGCACAAGAGGCTCAGCGCGGACACGATCCGTCTGGGGATTATAGCGTGCAGCAGAAGGACGTGGTGCAGCAAGTTGACGAGCCCTAAGGTAGAATCAATGTCAGTGTCGATCTTATGCAATCCTTGAGCGAGTGTACTGACTTTCCCATCAGCTTTGACAAGATGGGGATGAGGAATGCAGCTGTCTTTCCCGAACCTGGATCGTATTAGTAGTGTTTAATGAAGGTGAATGAGGCTACTAACCTGTCTGAGCAACAGCGACAACATCGTTGCCAGTGAGGACGGCCGGGATGCAGTAAGACTGAATGGGCGTAGGAGAGTTGTATCGGCACAGTTTAACATTCTCCAGCATGACAGGGTGTAGTCCCGCATCGTTGAACTATATCATTGTTAGCAACTTGTTTCAATGCGTGGTACCAAGCTCACTTACGTCGCGGACAGGCTGGACCTTGGTAGAGCCACCCTCGATGCTGACGTCGAACGAGAGTGCTTTGATAGCACCGCCAGCACGCTGGAGATTCTGCTCCTCAAAGAGTACCTTCTCGAGCTCAGGGTTGGTCGGAGCAACGTCGCCGAACTCGTCGTCCCACTCGTAGACGGCCGCGTCAGACAGCCAGAGCGCGCCATCGCGAGTGTCATCCTCAGCTGGAGTGCCACCGAGGATTTTGTCGTACTCGAAAGGGAGTTGATTGTTCCAGCCAGCCTCTTTCGCACGAGCCAGATTGGCAGCCGCCTCCTCCCTGCGAGCGAGGGCAGCGGCATCGAGACCGGCGCCGGGTGCACCTGCGTCAGACATGATGCAGGAGAACGGCCAGTGAAGATGTGTGTTGCTGGTCAAGTTGAAGGCGGGGGCAATCCAAAGAATGGGTTGGATGTTGGGGGGAGGGGAGTGGCGGAGCAGCCGCGTGTGATTTTATGTTGACAAGAAAGGGCAGGAGCAGTGGACGTTAGCGCTGCTGGCTTGGCAACGTATCTCGACGACATGCATGTGGAATGTTTGCAAGCAGGTCCACGGTGTTCCATGGATTCGTCTGGACTAGGCAAGGTGAAGGTAGTGGATTCTCGAAGCAGTGGGGTTATGTACTATCCCGCACCTCGTGTATCACGGTGAAGGCGGACCAGGGAACATTAGTGCTGTCAGAGCAAGTACAGAATGTACTATGTAGTCGGTACCATTTAGAAGATTTATAGTGGAGAATAGCAGGCTCATTCAATGAGAAACAGAGATGTCAACGAGTGACCAAGAAACGACAGCGACAAGGCAATACAATGGAAGACGCTCAAAGCCATGTCTAGTGGGCAACAAGCTGATTCATGAATACCCAAAGACACTCTACATAACTGATGAAATGAATCTCCTTCGCACACTCACACACACAAATTGCTTTCTACAGTAATGTGGCACCAGTGGATCGTCCTAAGTGAGCGTTTCAGGTTACCACCATATACACTAATCCTGAAGTACCAACTCCTTTAAAAGAATCCTCGCATCATTTGCGGCATTCATAAAAAGATAACCTACATCAGGCAAGGAGAAGGCGTCATGTTGCCCTCAAGGAGCTATGCTTCAGACATTTTCTCCCAAGAGCTCTCTCTTCTCGAGCGATTCAGACAGTTCGTGGGAGAACGTCTAGTAAAGCTCATAGCGTACATACACTTTGTCTAAACCCCGCATAGTCTACAGTTTTCATATTTCACAAAATATGAAGATGGAAGTCGTGGAGGTCGGTACGTAGGTACCTACCGGCGGTAGGTAGCGCAAGCGCCACATGCCGAACCTCAACACGATCATATGATCAATCCACAACAGTCAACAAACATCAACATAAATTGTTCAGAGTGCTAAAGAACTTGTAGTAAAGTAGAACAAATTTGTCAGTCGTTGGAATCATATTGTTTGTAAACACTTCCAGAACAAGCAGGTTGGCTGCAGATGTTACAGCAAATTATATCATGAGTATCCTCAAGGGAACTCGGTACTTGTAAAGTATATCTGTAGAACACAACTTCTTCTGCACGATTCATTCGTACTCCGAAGCATCTGAAAGATACCAGTTGAATTCCGCATGTGGTCTGGAAAAGATGTAAACATCTACAGTGCACTTTTGTAGCACCGGCTCTTGACGGCCCCAATACTCATGCATGGGAACCCGTTCGAACTGAATGTGATTCTAGCAGTGTTTTCATGTGCAGCCATGCTGCAGAAGGCCATCTGTCAGTACGGCATGTCTCTATTCACCATGTAGTACCCACATCCTCTGGCCACATGTCAAACGTCAAGCTCCACGCTGCAATCCATACCATTTTAACACCATCCCCCTAACAAGTTCTGGAAGCGAATACGATCAATATGAGGATCCCAAAACGACTCTCCTGGCGCAATTTGTCTGTAGTACTCAGACTTTACAGGCTTATCTTTGATCTTCTTGTACTTTCTTTTGTCATCTCGTGCCTGCTTTTTCTTTCTAAGGCTTCATTCAGCATCCTTGATCATCTCCTTTTGTACATTCATCGCCAATGCTTCCTGAATTGGGGCAAACCCTATCAGATCGACGCCAGCAAATGGATACGATTTGTCCCAGGCGGGGTAGAAGTTGGGGCCCATAGGATAGATGATTTTGGTGTTGGCAGGCTCATGCTGAGGAGAGAAATGCTTCAACAGATTGCAAGTAGCAGACCTGGGCGGGGGAAAGTGAGCGGGATCCTTGTTATTCATGATGGGGAGTCTGGAGCGTTTACAGTGTCTGTGGTAGTAGGTCAGGCTTCTGAATATGGCAATACCGCTGCGAACAACACTCAGAGACTTACAGACGGATAGTAGATGATCTTACGAGGTATTCGAAGGGGTTATGGGAGGTGGTACGTAAAAAGAGAATTAGGACTGCAAACAGCAATGTGTTATCAGGGTTCCGCAGAACACGGTCACCAACAAACGCTCTTCCAGATACGCCGTCTAGGTGAAGGTTGGTTTGGGTCCTGACGTACGTTTCCAAGATGACTTCGATACAATTTCTACGAAGTCATACAACCTGACTGGATACTGTAGGTACTAGAAATTTCGATCGTCTGCAGCTCCTCACATTAGTGGAGTTGCTTGTTCCTCCAGGAAGGTTATCGATTAACCGTGGTACTTATAGGGAACAGGCATTCTTGCAGATAAATTCAGCCTGACTAAGTTGCCTGGAAATCTCATTTTGGGCAATGAGGAATATGATGATGGGATGTACTGTTAGGTAAGTTTCGATATGTGACAGCGTCCTCAGTCGAACGAGCTTCACCTTCGGTATGTTAAGTACCGGTATCTACCGGCGGTATGATTCCACAGCTGCAGATAGCCTCAAAAACCCACAAACTGACGGTATTAATTGTAAACAATTGCAACAGGTCTGCTTCTATCTCTCATTATTAGCAGTTCTGCTTTACCGCAGTCCTTGTAAAGGTGGTGTTATTTTGCTGCGCCAATCAATCCGAATGGTGCTGGTGTGCACTACCTATTGTCACTACGTCATTTGCCCTTCTTCCAGCGTGACCTCAATCCGTGACCTTGTTGTCTCTAGCAAGCCACTCCCCATTCACGCGCTGCAGCCGATGCAATTTATTTTATTTTGCGACATGCCTCAACATAGTCTTCTTCGGTATAAAATCTTTGATAATCAACATCTACGCAATGAACGACCCAGGCCTAGATCAGCCTGCGCAGGAGGCTGCGCAAGATGTCGAGAAGAATACGCGACATGAGGATGAGCAGGCAGAGTCAGAGGAACGTGAATATTTGGATCCAAGGTATTCATTTCCTAGTGTATCCCAGATGTCCAAAGCTGACGGTCACAGTCGCTGGTGGTTTGCATCCACAGCAAGCCCCTTGATAGCTGGTACCTTTGGGCCTATGGCGAATGCATTCAGTATTTGTGCGCTACCAAATGAATGGAGAGTATACATACCACCTGGCAGCGACGAAGGCCATGGTATCAAGATATCTGATCCCAAATGGCTGATCGCTGTCAACTCGATATCACTAGTCTTTGCCCTTGTTGCAAACATCAGCCTGCTCCTGAATATGTCAAGGCGACTGACCTTCTCCGTCGCGCAACCGATCACAATCATTGGATTCTATCTAGCTTCGTTTCTGCTTATCGCGCTGGTCGCTGTGGCCTCATCTTCCGTCTTCCGTCTCCAGCCAATGGAAGAGCATGCATTGGGTCAGGCGTACTACTACGGACTCATGGCTGCGGGAATCTACTTTATCATCGCTTCACTCATGTCTTTTACTGCTTTTGGGGCGTGGAAGGGACATTACGCAAAAGAGTTCCAATTGTCGCCAAGTCAAAGGACGCTGATGCTGCAGACCATTGGCTTCATGGTCTACCTCCTCCTCGGCGCGCTTGTCTTCTCCAAAGTGGAGGGTTGGGCATTCCTTGATGCAGTCTTCTGGGCCGACTTCACTCTACTGACCGTCGGACTTGGAGGTGAATATGTGCCCAAAACTCATTCGGGACGTGCATTACTGTTCCCGTACGCGATTGGGGGTCTGCTCATGGTCGGCCTGGTGATTGGCTCTATTCGATCTTTGATACTGGAACATGGAAAGCAGAAAATGGCTGCCCGTTTCATGGAGGTCAAGAGGGAGAAGGTCTTATCTTCCATCGATGATGGCTTGAGAACGATACGGCTGGGGCCGTTCGAGAAGATTAAATTCTCTCAGAAGGGACTTTCGGAAACGGAGAAGAGAAAGCAAGAGTTTCGCGTCATGCGACGTGTGCAGGAGCTCTCGGAGAGGCGGCGGAGATACACTGCTCTAGCCATATCCACGACCGCTGCACTACTATTGTGGCTCATTGGTGTAAGTCCATCATTCGAAAATTGTACAAGATCCGCACTTACATTAGTATTACCTCAGGCTTTGGTCTTTATGCACTCTGAGAAACCCCAAGATTTCTCTTATTTTGTGTCACTCTATTTCGCGTACACCACACTTCTGACAATTGGTTATGGCGACTTCACCGTAAACAGTAACGCTGGTAAAGCGTTCTTCGTATTCTGGAGCTTACTCGCGGTCCCTACCCTGACTATTCTGATTAGTAATATGGGAGATACGGTAATCAAAGCTTTCAAAGATTTCACCATGTGGGTTGGTTCACTCACTGTCTTGCCGGATGAGGAGGGGCTCAGGGCAGCATTGAAAGTAGGATTCAAACGAATCAGGGCCGGCAGGCTACTTCAGCAGGAAGACAACTATCGTGAAAGTCCTCCAAAGGAGTCTGAGCAACGCGTGGAAGATCGTCTTGCAGCACATATCGAAGAAGAAGAACTAGGTCGTGCAGAAGAGGCTGGCGAACACGGAGACTATCTCGAACGGGACATCCGGTTTTACCACTTCGTTCTCGCCAAAGAAGTTCGCCAGCTGATGAAAGACGTGAACGTTTCGCCACCTCGACAATACGATTACAACGAATGGCAATACTATCTTAGGCTTATCCGTCAGGATGAGAATGACCCTTCTCTACACTGTAGACCGCAAGTCGAACCTCGGCCTAACAATGATGACACTCCGGACATAGGTACTGCTGATGATGATGACACCGTCGGATGGAGCTGGCTTGGAATTCGAAGCCCGCTCATGGGTAACCAGTCAGAGCCGGAGTGGCTACTCCAGAGACTAGCAGCGACGCTGGAGAAAGAAATGCGGAACATGAGCTCCTCGAACCCGGATAAAAGGAAGCAGAAGCCGCCAATCTCAATGGCAGAACTCAGGAAGAGAGATAATAGCGACATTTCAGTGGATGGGAAGATGTTACAGAATACTATTGGATCTGCGCAGGCCAGGCAGCGGGGAGGCAAGGCGAGCTGACGAGCCTACAAACGTCAAACCTATGAAGGGTATACTGTTTAAAGCACCGTCAGTCTTGCACACATGTACTTTGCATCTTGAAAACTTGATAATCTAACATTCTATGCCGCTTGATCTACTCTCCCAGACTTTCCCCTCCCATCCAACACAATATCATGAGCTCGCCATCCTCCAACAAACCGCCCTTCGAACCGTCTGGTTCACTCCTCCAGAAGGCGAAGGCGGGGGGTGGTGATGACTTTGGGGGATGTGGGGAGGTGACGGGATGGGAGAGGGTTTTATTGTGGTGTGGGTGTTTATGCTGTTCATTTGCTTAACATAATGTTGCCTAAGTGTGCTTTATAGGTGGAAGTAAGAGTATTTCGATCTTGTTTTACTTTCTAAAGGGGAAGAGAGAGGATACTTGATCAGATTCCCAACATAACAAACGGCCACCAGCATTCTACCCGGCACAAAGACACTTAATAATTGATGGTTACAGCTTTGCCTGACCTGATCAGTGGCATAGGAAAGATGTGATAGAAATGACATAGATGACTGCTTCACAACCGGCAATTCGAGGGCATGTTTATTATCATAGTTTCTCCATTGGCTCACTGGCCTACTCTTCATAAGCTACCGCTACCAACTTCTCACTGTACCAGAAATATGTATGTTTAAAAAAAGACACAAGCCCCCAAACAAACAGCACCCGCAATGCAGTCCGTTTCCAGCGCAAAGGCAAACCCCAAGGTCCATTGCACTTTCTGGCTGACGGTGCTTTATCCGCTGAAGAATCGAAGACGCCGCGCGCGCCATCTATATCGGAACGCAGCAATTTTTCCACACGAGACAATGATAACACAAAGCAAGGAGATAGATTCGTAAGGAGAGAGATGGTTGGACGGTTGGACGGACGGATCGAGAAATAGATGGGAGGCGCGGGATATGCAATACTATCCACCGGTATTGGCAGCATTATACAATGTACTGGACCAGCCATTTGATTTTACAATAAGAAACCCCAGCAAGGATGGGAGAAAGGAACGGTGGATGAATGTTCCCGGAAATGATGCGTGTAGTTCGACGAGTCGTGGACTTTTATAGGACGACCGTTCAGAAGGATAATACGGCGAACTGGCGAGGCCTCTAGTTGTTGGGTGTAGCCGGCGCAGCAGCGGCTTTGTTGACTTGTGTAACGACAACCGCAATAACAACAATGACGATGATGATGAGGAGTACGATGAGCAGGCACCACCACTTCTTGCGGTTGCGGCTACGCGCCTTGTCGATGGCGCCAGAGATCTCGGTGTTGGCTTGCACAACATTGTCATGGATTTCCTCACCCTTGGTTTCAATGTTCGCGACCAGGGGTTCCTGCTCTTGGACGATTTGATCAAGGTCTTGGAAGAGCTGGGCGAGCTCGACCATTTGGCGTTCAATATTTTGGATGGCTTCGTGGCGCTCCTTGACGTTGCGAAGCGTGGACGAGGCTTGGCCGCGGCGGTCAGAGTTCAGGAGCTGCAATCAGGTTAGCCAGTTGTAGGCCGGTCATTGAAGTCGTCTACCATACAGCTTGTTGGAAGATGGGCGCATCAGGATCTGCCACGGCCTCGCGAACCTCGGCATCGGTGGCATCAGGGCGCACAATGCGGTACTGGCGCTCAGCAGCCGCCTGCGAGTCTCTCCTAAAGTCTGCCTCGAGCGTCTGGTAGCGATTGATGGTCGCCTTGAGTCGGCGATCGACCTTGCCCACCTGTGGAGCATTTCTGGGGCTGCCCGACTCAGGCTTGGACTTGATGTTCTTGACGCGAGTGACGAGGGCGCGGTAGCCCGTCATGATTTGCGAACTGAGGGCGGTGATCTCGCCAGAGGGCATATCTGGACGGGCCAGCACCTGTCGAAAGACGCGCTCGAGGTTGTTGAGTTGCTCGTCGAGCTGGTCGAGTGCGCGGTCGATCTCGCGACATTCGTTGAGGATGGCATTGGGGTCGGCTAGAGCGCCACCGCCATAGTTTTGCATCTCGAGGCCAGCTGGGACGTGTTAGTAGAGTTGTAGATAACGAGGCACTAAGACGGGACGTACGATCATCATATCGGCCCTGTGTGAAGTTGTTCTGGCCATCATCGCGTTGGTCGTATGGGTTGTTGGCATGCGACCCAATCTGGCCGTAACCCCTGTTGCCGTACTGTTGGGCGGTGGCAGCCATGGTCAGCAAAGGTAGGATTGGGGAGTAAAGTGAGGTGAGTGCTCAGTGTTGGAGCCAGCGTGTTTAGGGGAGTGTCTAAAAGCAAGGCAACTTACACTCATGCTGAAACAGGGTGTGTGGTGGTATGTGCGTGTATGAGTACTCCTGAAACACAGCGCTACAATGCAGCACGCAAACGGGAAAATATGTGCTTGATGCAGAGAGATGCAGAGATGAGTGGTGGTGGTGAGAAGAAGCAGTGAAATTGAATGCAGACGCTGTCCAGACTTTTGATCCAACGCACCAGAAATCGAGCTGCGGGCTTGGAGATGGGAAGTTTCGGCGTCGTGGGCCTTTGGGGCTGAAGGTGCTAGGACGAAGCGCCGACTACTCAAGCTGCAGACCGCCACTAACCGTATTGGGCCTTCGCGAAGATTGCACCACCTCACCACGAACATCTACTTTGTAAGTACTACTCTTACATGTACTCTACATATGCTGGATGCTCTATCTTTGGAACCTGTCAGGCTGGTTGCGCAATCCTGCATGTGCAGACTCCATTTCTGGGCTCTGCGAACTCCCCTTGACATCCACCCACATTACCTATACTGGAATATGATTGTACTACTTCTACCCAACACATCGCCTGCCTTGCTCAGTCGCCACAAGTGTCTCATGCCTGCCTGCTGGCCTTGCTCAATGGCCGCGTCGCCGTGGGCTCCTCGACAAATCCAGGGTCTGCGCTAAGCTCAGCTCAGCCTTGCAGCGTCCATCTCTCTCTCTCTCTCTCTCTCTCTCTCTCTCTCTCTCTCTCTCCTCATTTCACCACTCGAACGCCTCCGCTTGTTGGTTGCCCCAGGGCCACCATTCTATTCCTGTCTCTGCAAACACGAGGCCAATCATTCCAACCCGCTCGTATAAAGTATACTGTCATCATCATCATCATCATCCCCTGGTTGCCTGTTCGCTGCTGCCCCAGCGTGTCTTCTCGTCTCCGCCTGCCCACGACTTTTCCGTGTAGCCTAGCCGCTGTTTGACTTCGTCCACTGTCGCCTTATCGCCCGTGTTCTTACCAATATTGTCGCTGATCTTCACCGCGTGACGGCCTGATGCAGATGCAATCTTGATGACAATGTTCAGTGGCACCGACTTCTTTCCGCTCGACGTCTCCACAAAGTCATCTACATCGTGTCAGCTAGATCCACTTTTTTTGTCCTCCTCAACGTGCTCGCAAAACTCACTCGTTAAGAAGGTTCCGACACCAAAGGTTGGCTGGAAACCAGCTTCTTCAGCTGCTGCCTTGTACTTGAAACACAATTCGAGGTTCAACGAGTCGGAGAAGACAATCGTCTTCTTGTCCTTGATACCTTGCTGGTCGTAGAATTCACGCATCATCCGAACAAACTCCAGAGGGTCTCCAGAATCTTGTCGCACGCCGGTGAAGACCTCGGCATACGTCTTCTGCGACTCTAGCTTGCCATTCAGCGGCGCTTCAATAGGCGGATTGGTTGATGCCATGGATTGTACAGCGTCTATGTCGGTTGTAGCAGACGCAGAGGCCATGGTAGTACCACCACCAGGTATCGCAGTCGTCACGGCAGGGATCCGTTTCTTGAAAGCCTTGAGGAACGTGGGGGTGCCAAATGTGTCGGTGAGAGCGATGCTCAGCACACCTGCGCCAAACGTCGCTGTCCAGTATTCCAAGGCAATCTCGTTTGCGCTCTCGTAGTTGTTCGTGATGGCGGCCACACCCATGAACCATTCATGCGCAACTGTGCCTATGGGGACAAGACCATGCTTCATCGCGAAGTGGACATTGCTCGTTCCTGACAGCTTTCCGGTCCAGCCAGCCTTTGCGCCTTCGTCTGCTGCCCTGCGCAAGCCCTGCAGGACTAGGTCCTGGGTATGGTAGTCGCGACGTCGCCTCGTGCCAAACTCTGAGAATATGCAGCCGCCTTCTAGTAGACTGCGGCCCTTCTGGTAGGCCTTGTCGACTTGACCCGCATGACTCCAGTCTGTCTCCACAAACTTGAAGTATGCTTCGCTGACGAGCGCAAGTAGTGGGATCTCGTAGAGGATCGTGTCTAGCCACAGTCCCTCGGTGTGTATGTGAAACTCGCCACGATCATCGTCTGAGCCTGTGTCGTGGACTGGTTGAAAAGAGAGCCTGAGCTGTTTGGAGGGCTTGAGCCGGAAGGTTGAGAGAAATTGGAGGTACTGGTCGTTGAGGTAGGTGCAATGGGTCTTGAGGAAGCCGATCTCCTCGTCGGTGACACTGATGTGTTCAAGCTCTAGGTCATGTCAGCAGCTGACTAGGCCAAGAGAGTCCACATGGTGGCACACACTGCCCACTTGTATTTGCAACCACTTGAAGGCTGCGCGGCTGAGCTTTTTATCAGGCGTGCGGTTTGTGAAGCTGTAGGTGACGGAGACGTTGGGGAAGAACTTGAGGATGCAACATTGCATAGTCAGTTTGTACAGGTCGGTGTCCAAGAGGGAAAACACGCCCTCGGGCAGATTGGTGCTGTCAATGTGGCTGGCCATGGCGACTGGGTGTGACGCTCGTCGGTGTAATCTGTAATCAGAATAATCAAACGTCACAGTCAGTCGCGGCTTCCGATGACGGTGGATGGAGGGGTGGTGGGGTAGGCGCGACTTTATAGTAGCGCGACGGGCTGGTTTGCCGCGGCCGAGTTTGGATTCCATGCTCGTTCAACGTTGCAAGGTTGTGTGTGATTCCAGTGCGTTTTAGTGGTAGCGAGTCTTGACCATTAAATATATCAAACCGACGAGTGTGAACAGGGCAGACCTTTGGACTACATTCGCGCCCATAAGCGACTGTGAAGACGACCTACAGTATGCGAATGGCCTCGGAGCGCTGCGTCTCCTATCTGGGTTTAGCGTCATGGCCTGTTCCTCCCAGCCCTACTCTACTCTACCGGCCGGTACCATGCAGTGGCGGGGGTGTGCCTGCATTATTACTACAGAGGACAGTCTATGTACTATTTGTGTTATTTATGCTAGGGACACTGGCTTTGCACCATCTTTCTTTGTCCCAAGTACCGGTGACGGACTATCAAACATCCGTGCCTCCCTCCTTCTTCACCTCGTTTGTCCAAGACCATGCTCGTCGCCTTCTCCGTTCTTGCCATATCGCTCTCCTTTCTAGCATACCATCGCCCACCTTCAACATGGCTCGCCTTATTCATGCGTGCTGCCAGTCCGCCGTCGCCCACCATGCCCGAGCCCGGTCGGAAACTGGGCGACGACCTCCCCGCCCCCGCTGAACAGCAGCGCATTGAACCGCTAGATCAGACCACGAGTCACACCGAAACCGACGAGCCTCCAAGAAGCCCTTCGCCACAGACTACGCCCAAGGCTGCTCCTCGGACAGAGAATGATGCGCCTGCAGTTCCGACCTTCACACTCAACGAGCATGACCGCTCCGACGACGAAGACACTGAGGAAGACAGTCTCCCACCGCCCTCCTTCCCAGCCATGAACTCTGCACAACGAGCCTCAGGCCCTTCTACCATACCCTCCTCGCTGTCCATGCCACCACCCAGCAAGCCAAACCTCATGGCCCCGCCTGCCAGACCCGCATCCTCGCTCATGCCGCCCCCACGGGTCGCGCCCTCCAACCTGCGCGCCCTCCCCACTGCGAACCAGTCGATGCGAGTACCCACCACGGGCCCTCTTCCGAACCGCGGCCCACCCGTCTCCAACAGTGGCAGTGGCACCTTGGGCCTACCCTCTGCAGGCCCCGTCGTCAAGACACCCAATGCCCGAGGCAAGGTCCAGCTGACACCTGGCCACTCGCCGCTCGACTGGGCCAGTCTGCAACGCTCCGGCCAGAACCTCTCGGGCGTCAACTCGATGATACGCGTATCGCCCGCCATGCTCAAGGAGAAGAATGGGCGCAAAGGAAAGCCAGCTTGGTCGAGCTATCAAGGCAAAGTATACAACATCTCGCCCTACCTCCCTTTTCACCCCGGTGGCGAGGGCGAGCTGAGAAGAGCGGCTGGCAAGGATGGCACCAAGTTATTCATGGAGGTGCACCCGTGGGTGAATTGGGAGAATATGCTGGGCGAGTGTATTGTAGGCATCATGGTCTCGGAAGAGCAGGCCTCGATGATGGCGTCCGCGGCGCCGGGAGACATGCTGGAGGATATGGATTGAGACGAGGTTAGATACCCATTCTTGCATTGCATTTGGGCGGCGTTTTCACGGCATAGCATCTTTTCACCTATCCAGCTAGACACTGGATTCTTGCAATTGCAAGCATCATTATTCACACAAGCCAAGATGGCATATAAGTCAGTGTGTCAAATACACCAAGACAAAACTGCATAACTTCACAAACATGACATGAAGTGCCTCATTCCACCGCATCTACAACCCATCCTATCCCATTAACCCGCAGAATTCACCCACCCAACCCCTTCAGAATCCACACCCCAAACATATCAGGCCCCCACTGTCCCGTCCCTGACGGTGACACCTTTTCTTCTCCCACAGAGATTGGAGTTTCCGTGGTTGTTATGGCTGTGGGATGCTTGAAGACAGGGTTAGCGCTCGTGTTGGAGACAGTAGGAGGAGGAGGAGGAGTAGAAGTAGGAGTAGAGGTAGAGGTAGAGGTAGAAGTAGCTGTTCGTAGTGACATAGACATTAAGGTTGTAAGAAGAGACTCAAACGAAACTGATTGGTCGGCGGGAATCGGCATTCTCAGAGATGGGATCTCCCTAGTTGATTCGATGAATAATGGGCTGAGGACATCAGAAGACAAGCTGTCCAAGAAAGGTCTACGGTCAATAAGACTAGTCACTGGTGAGGTCGTCATCGGCAAGCTCTCCTTGAACGAAGCAAGACTAGAAAGAGATAGGAGGGAAGTTGGCTTCCAACCTTGGCTGGATTCGTCATAGATGCTAGTGAACCCTCTGAGGAGGTTTTGAGTTCTGCAGGAGAGACAGGAGGTGGGACTAGAAGCCTTGAATCATCTATGGGCTCTTGTCCCAACGCTGGTGTGGTTGATCGAACTAGTGGAGCGTCACTTGTACTGATACCTGGAAATGGGTCGGGCGTGGGACCATTAGAGCGTGAGCTTGATTGTGTCGGGGGCAAAATAGTTGTGTCATTATCGGATATTTGCGGGATGTATTTGGCAGAGGACGATGCTGCTGCCGTGGTGGGCAACTGAAGAGTTCCTGATAAGGTTTCTGGTGTCAGAAGAGGTGGAGATATCGTTGGAAAATTCTGCGATAAATGTGAGAGACGATCTTCAGTAGGAAGAACCGGCATGTCTTGTGTGACGATCGTGCCTTGAATCGAACTTGATCTAGACTGGTCTTTGCTAGGGTCCAGTGCGACAGCTATAAGAGCATTCGAGTTGATTTTGGGAATATCTGATGTTGCTGAAGATTCAGCAGATACGAAAGATTGGCTCGTTCTTTGGGCTTCAGTTGAAGGATTGGCCGCATTGGGGGACAACCCACTCTCTTTAGACATTTCAGCTACCGTATTGCTAGATATTGGTGCGTCTAACGCAGAAGCTCGCAACGGTGAAACATCAAACGAGGGCGACGCAGAAGTTCCAGCTGATGCAGACAAGGACAAGAAAGGCGGAGGACCCGTTGGAAGAGCATCTGGAATTTGATCCGCAACCAAATATTCTGTAGTGAGGGCGTCGGCATGGAATGAAGAAGCTGTCACGGCTGCAGGCGAAACCTTCATGAGACTCTGCAGGCCCTCGCATCCATCTGAGACGAACTCCTGAGCGACAGGATAAGCTTCGCTCACCACAAAGTCGCAGAGTAAACTTGCTCCAAAGACGGCATAGAATTGCGCAGCAGCTTGCGGCATAGTCTCTTGACCATAAACGTTCTTGACGCAGTCTTTGACTATGCTAGGGTCGAAGCTTCCAGCGTCGTCGCTACGAAAGTATGCATTGCACACTGAATAAATGACATTCGCAACCAGATTGTGCGCAAGAGTGTCGCTGTTCGGGCTCAGAGCTTTGCTTTTGGCCGCCAAATCGGCGCTGAGGTGTTCCGCGAAAGAAATGGCTCTATTTTCGGCGTCTCGTATGCGAATTTGAGTTCGTCGTGGTAGTTCGAGGCGACGTTGATGGTGTTCAGACGCATTTGCGCTTGGAAATAGTATTATCGAGCTTAGGAGTAGGGTAAGAAACCATGTAGCCTTCGGCACTTGTTTCCTCGATGCAAAACCAAGCTTAATAAGCTCTGGCCCTGGTTCCTTCGTAAAGCTTGTCCCATGTCCAGCAGTTGGGCCGGGTTTTCGGCTGCCTCGGCGTGTGGAGAAGCTGATGGTGCTTCTTTAACCTTGGGACACTCCTTTTCGTTCGCCATACTTCCACCGTCGATCCTCGTTCCTTCTACAGTGCCATTACTGAGAAGCGAGAACTTGGCACAGCTTGCAACTGTTATGTGTTGCTCTTGTTGCACCAAGACATCTGGTTCATTCAGCGATGTAGGGTTCCAGGAGTCGGGATCGTTCATCGAAGTAGGGTTCCAAGGGTCGGCATCATTTTGCGAAAATGTGAAATTCGAGATAAACGATGCTATACCGGGTGGGCATGTGATGCTGTTCGAACATGACATCCAGCCTCCGTCACTGTTGCATTTGACGTTCTGAAAGCCATTGATGCCTTTGCATGCTGGGCCGGTGCAACTGTATTGTAGTGCATACGTGTTCTGGGACGGTCGTCTAAAGTCAGACAAGTTGAACGCAGAGAAATCATGCATATCACTTACGATTCCTGGACCACAGTTTGCAAATATACCGGAGGCTTGAGTGATGCTATTAGGTGTCTTCTTGGAGTTCTGCATCGCAGCCTCTCGTTGAGTTGTTGTTGTAAGCGAATGAAGAGGGGGAAAAAAGCTATACACGAGATAGACCTAGCTATCTCAATATATGGAGATAGCTGATTAGGTTTTAAAGTCGAAACATTTCAGAGGCCTCGACCAACCGATGGGAATCCCATTGAACCAGGAAGGCAGATGAGGTGGTTTAACTTGCAAAGGTCGAAGTCCTGGCAAGACAAAAGGGAGGATTATACAACACTCAGCCAAACAATGTGGCAGAAGCAAGCCATGTCTTGCACCAGCTAGGGAGTGCAGTCTCAGCTCACTTGACCGAAGTGGAAGCCGCATGGGGCGGCAAAGGTATGGATGTTAGTTGTGATGCATCCAGCTCCCAACGCTCGATCCTAGGCGACGCTATTCACTGCGAGCCGCTCTGTGGTGATTCCTGTCTCACAGCCAAGAATAACTCTTTTCTGTCGTCGCCGTCTGCCATCTGCTGCGCCGCAGCCATTCACCCCTCTCGGTCTATTATGCGAGAGGTCGGTCGTTAGTTCATCCTCCCAAGGCCTGGCCATATTTTGGGCCAACGCGACCATGGGCGTGCTGTCGATGAGTGATTTCGTAGTTGAAGCTACAGTGGAATGAACCCTTGGGGGTATCAACAAGAGACGCGGTGTGTGTTCCTGCAACGTAGGTAGGCACTGGTAACTAGGTAAGGTGCTGGTGGTTGGGCCAACACGTCAGCAACAAGGCCTCACCGCCAAGACCAAAAAAGCATAACCCAACCACCACCAACACATCATCAGCCTTATTCCCGGCCGAGAAAGAAGGCCTCTCGAAAAATCCCGTAACATCCGAGCCTACACCGGCGGTCGTCTCTTGTTGTGTGCCGTTTGGATCCGCAACCTGGCACGCGCTCAGCGCTGTCGAAATCATCTGATTCTGTTCGGGCTTTAGTCTCGTTTGGCCCAATGCGGAAGTGCAATCATGCCACTTTTGCCGACTCTTTAGCTTTTTTTTTTTGGCCTTCCAAAACTGCCTACACACAATAACACACTGGTTCTTGTTCACGGGGGGGCGCCGGTCAATGTGCATGTGACGAGGGATTTTGGACTCGAGGGAGGCGTAGGTACTAATTGCTATATATATGGCTAAGCATCGCGTGCGGCTTTTGCATGTTTCTGTTCTTGCTTTCTCCTACCTATACCGTACGTTCCTTTGTTCTTCCCAACTTGCTCGTCGTTCTCTTGCAGTCGTCGTCGAATTCATCCTCACGTTCTTCTTCTCTTCTAGTCGTTGGTCCTACCGGTACGGCGCGCCTCGGTCCTGTTCCGCTGTTACTTGTGTCCTTTTTTTGTCTGTCAGATCACACAATTGCCTCCCCGTCTAAAACCCGTCATCGCCGCACTTTGTCTTGATCCAAAACCAGCCTCGGTTCCATTCATACACACAATTAATCAGACTCACTTGAACCAAACATGTTAATCACGCGCGGTTTCTCGCTCACAAACTTCGTCATTGGCTCGTCCGCGCTATGCTTCCAGGTCTTCGTCCTGTACCCTTGGCATGAACAATTGGATGAAGAGTTCAAGGAGCTGCGAAAGGAGCACGCAAGACTCCTCCATGACACGCATCAAAAGCACAGGAGTGAATTGCAGAGCATCAGAGAGCAACTGGAGAAGCTGAATGAACAAAAAAAGGTTGGGAAGTTTTGGTAAAGGGAGGGAGAGAAAGAGAAAGAAAGAGAATCGGACACAATGGAAAAAGAAAAGGGTAGGGCTGCGACATGAAGGTGGTCCGATGACACGAGAAATGCTAGCGACACTCTGAGCTGCCAACCAGCGATCAACAGCAACGCTCCATCCTCGTACAACTTCATAACTACAGAAGCACAAATCCATGTCCCCAAATCATACCGTCACACTATCCCAGGACTCAAAGGCATCAACATACCCCAAACCCTCGCATATCCCAAGAGCACAAAGAGTTTTTCTCTGAAATATACACATGAGGATAAAGATAGGATAGACAGACGGTTCTCACCAGGGTGCAAACCATATCCGAGAACAAGCTCCCCTGAATTTTTACATGTTAAACACAGGCCCGTGACTTGCCAATTTCAAGAGCGTCATCATTTGAATAACTCGTGTCGATTCACAAGCGATCCATAGGACAATTCTGGGGTTTGGGAATAGACAAGGAGCAATTCGTCCTACTATCCACGAATATCCAAGCAACAATCTATCCTACCATCCAAGGATACCCCAACCACCCCCCCGTCCTCCCGCCCCCCTTCTCTCTCTCTCTTCACCTGCCCAGCACCCCACCCCCACCCACCCCCAACCTTAAAACCTTAAAACCGTAAAACCAAGCCCTCCCCACGCCAACCCAAGCCATCCCCGGCGCTACCCCAGAAACAGAATCTCCCCATCTCCCCACCCCCACAGACCCAAATCCAGAACCCACATGCACGCGTCAGACCTAAACCTACTGGCCAGGCCGCAAGGAGAATATGCAAAGAAGGAGCGAAGGGGGTCAAAAAGAGGCAAAGTAAGGAAACGGTGCTGAGATGTTTCCAATGAACGTGAGATTTGAATTTTATACATGGGTCTAACATGTCCACGTTCATATCCGTCTCGACGACCACGTGCATACCCACACCAAAATCTGCTATAGCACGAATAATTCCTTCGCATGGTTGTCACACAGTGCCAAAAACACAACTAGATTCTTGAACACGAGACAAGAACCCCAACCCAATCCGCCCCTTTCCCCATTTCCTTCCGCAAACTACCCAGCATTATAAATCAATCATGTCGCTATCCTCACTCTCCTAGATTTCCCTTTCTCTAAATGGAAGCTCACATTTTCAAATCTCATCACGCCCGTGTGACGCCACCTCAACCTGCAGATAAATTGGGAAGCTCGACAAGCACATTGCACACGCCGTCTGCCCAGACCGCAAATGCCTTTTCGCGTAAGACGTGGTACCAGTCTTGCTCGGTTGTTATGGTGGTCCAACCATTCGGCCCAATTGTTTTGATGGTGTGGCGGGGAGGACATTCGTCATCGGCTGTGTCGTCGTTTGTGCTGCTCGTCGCGGTGATGTTGGGAGATGATGTGTTGGTTCCCATATCTGGTGTGGGGCCTGGACAGGCTGCAAGACCCTGTGTGTCTGATGTCAAGGCCGACGGTATGGATTCTGCAATATTTTGTGTGCCAGACATCTCATTCATAGGTCGCTGACTATCTTCTTGCAGGACAGGGTCGCTTAGTTTTGGAGGTTCCGTAGGGCTGACGTCGGATTGCAGCGCATTAGCTGCCGCCGCGAGACCCCGGAGACTGTGAGATCCAATCTCGTTTCCCAAAGGGGCAGGAGGCCGCCGCAATTCAGGAAACCGTGATTTGGCTTGGGAGAGAAGTCCATCAACTTCCTTCAAAAAGTCGTTCCAATCGTAGAAAGTCAGGTGAGCTGGATGCTCGGCTGATATACGCCTCTCATCCAGCTTGATGGCTGGCTTGCCCTCATGTGATGCTAATACAAGGAAAATATTGAGAAAGGAAAGGTGGGGTTCAACTGAACATGCCGTTGGAAGCTAGAAGAGACCTCATCAGCAAAGCTTATTCGCGAGCTACGAGGGAGGATTGTAGACTAACCTTCACGTTTGTCAACCAAGGGGAGGTGGTTCTCTGACCAACTACCTCTCCATCCAGTTGCAAAACCTCTCGGCCTCTTGCTGGGGAGTGTGCACCAACCATGCCTAATGACGGTGAGGTGGGTTGCGAGTCTTGACGATATTGAGCCAGTTTTGGATCGCAGGGCAACTGTGCCTGCTCGCACCCATGCTCGGCAACAGTTCGCGGGGCAGTAGCCTCTACACTTCCCTCTTTACTCTTCTTTGCACCTCCTTTCCTGGTCTCAATCGCATACTGGCGTTGTCGCTCATTTGTAACCATGCGGCGCATCAAGGGAGTAACGAGACTGATAATCTTGTTGCCATCTCTCGGCCATATCAGTCTACCCTCAGGGTTGATCACCTTCTCCTCGCCCAACGCACGAGCCGCTTCGATAGCTTCTCTCTCGCCTGGCTTCGCCACGTTTTCACCAAAGAATTGCTCTCCGGCCTTGTCGTTCAAAAAGTCTCGAACGCAGTTGAACAGTCGCAGTTTGACCATGTCTGTGTCGCCTTTTCCACGATTCCCAACACAATTCTGTCGCTCGGGGTGAGTTGTGTCTAGCATGTACGCTTTTGCCTGTGCCTGGAGTTGTAGAAAGTCCTCTGGATTGAGTTGGAGGGACATGAAGAGCTTCGACATTGGCGGGCGTGTGTATTTCCGGGACGTCCTCTCAGAGGAGCGACGGAAAAGTGCAGCGGCAGAATGTACACCTGCGGCACAGGTGTCGTTCAGCAGAGTTTCATTCGTTCGTGGGGTACCAATATTGTCAACATTGACGTGCTCGTTATAATCAACGGCTTGAAGCTCTGGATCCGTAGGCACATGAACGCGCCGACGTTTGCTATGTGGATTATCTTCTGTCATGGCAGTATCGCAAGCTGGAGAGCTGGACCCTCTCTTCCTCTTCCCGCCGCCATGAGTTGCGATGTTTACCACACCGTGATCGGCCATCATGTCAGCCTGTGTAGCCTGTGCAGTAGCGACTGAAGAAGCCGCTTCCAAGAGGTTTGCAAGGTTGTGACTATCCTCATATGTGTGCTCCACTGCTGTCTGATGCGCGATGGGCTCAGTGTACATGGGCGACTGGATTTGTCCGTGCGGGGATGCGAGAGGAGCGGGAGCAGAAAGGTCATAGTCGCCCTCTTCAGGCACGAAACGGGGCTGAACGGCGTTTGTACTGTTGGTTGCATTGCTGAACTGGCTGGATGGCATCTGATAATAGGGTGCGTTTGCCGACATTGTGGCAGTCGGCTGCCACGCGACCAGACGGGACGGATGGGTTGATCAAACTAGACCAACCGTCGGAGAATGAGCTGCTGGTGCCCAGATGTAAGTGAATGAATCAAGAGGACTGCGTTGCAAGATCGCGGTATCAATATGGATTAATGTGAGCAAGACTGGAGCGACTCGATGTACAGAGGCCGAGAGCTATTTCGAAGCTCTTTTGTATGCAGATTGCCATACCGTTTGGTTTGATCTCGAGGTGATACATGGTTTGGCTTGCGCGTGCAGATTGGGTATGGGTTTGTCCTGGAGAAGATCGCATTGTTTGATCTGAAATCAGGCATGGTACATTGCATAGCCCGCGTGAGAGAAAGGTGAGGTGAATGTTCAATCGGTTTGATCATGAATGACAACGAAACATAAACCAACAAGTTGCGCACCTGATATGTGGTGCTGGCGCTTGCTGTCAATTGCTATGTCATGTTAGAATGACAGGACAAGGTTGAAGACAGTGGCCGGCCAGCGGGCCTGAGGGAATCGGCAGAGGTGTGGTTTGTGTTGTTTGCATCTTGCAGGCAACGCGAGAGCATGTGACTGGATTTGCATATTGGATTACATAAGCCATCCCCCCTGGTACGGTAGCATTCCACATCAGCCTCATTTGGTCAAAAGTAGCAAGGAATAGATGAGTTGCAGTCTGGAACAATTAGTCTGCATCAGGTGATATTTCATACAAGAAAAGTTGTCGACTATGCGCATTGTATTACCGGGACTCTACCTATTCTGACTGGAAGGTTTGCGCATTCGCTACTCCTACCTAGCTACCATACAGCCCTTTGCAAGACCATGCCTCCAAATTGAAAACGCCTATGTATGCAGCTCGAGGATGGCGATAAAAGAAATGCACTGCTCATAAGGTTGCTAAAACCCATCACCTTCATGCCATTCTCTCCCCGCCTCCAAAGCCCTATTCTCCGGGTCTTTGCCCCTCTCCTCCGCATCCGCCTTCATCTTCTCCAGGAGCGGCTTCAGACGGTCAATCACCTTTTGCAGCTTTGCAAGCTTTTCCTCGTCAGGTTCCTCGGGAACTCCCTCGCTGGGGGAGTAATTGGCCCTCTCCTCCTCAGACAAACTTTGGTATTCTTCGTATCTCGACTTCTGTTCTCTCCAGTGGTTGACGTCGCCCTCGCGATCGCTAAGCTCAGTTGCGAGCGCAATGAAGTCTGCATAGATTTCTTCGCTGCCAAAGCAAGTTCCGTATTGGTCGCAAAAGCACAAATGCTCTTTGGGGCAGTAGACATTTGAGCCTGTAAAGACGAACTGCCATACGTATTCCCACATGCGGCCGCTCAAATGGTCCGGAAGTCTGCTGTTGAACAGCCAGTCTCTATACCAGAGGTATTGGGCGTATGGTCTTGCTTGTATGCGATCACGGGAAAGAGCAAATTGCGCGCAGCATGGTGTTGCAAGCACCGTCGGTACTTCATCGAGAGGGAATAGCTCACTCCATGACTTGGCGATGAGGTGTTCTTCCTCTTTGAAGGGATCCATTTCCGTCTTGCCCGGGTGGATCCAGTCGGGACAACCAGGGTGCCAGGTGCACCGCATATTGACAAATCCTTCCCTCCACACACGCGGTCGACTGAGGCGAGTAATGAGGAGGCGGGCATCGCTGTCCAGCAATGCATCGTTGTGCCAGGCTATCTGATGCGCGTGCATAAACATGGTAACATCCGGTAGGTTGTCATAGTTGTCAATGATCCACGACAAATAGACCATGACTTCGTGTCCCTTGTTCTTTGGAGCATGCATCGGTGCGTTTGGATCATCTGCGACATAGGCTGCCACTGGCTGATCGGGTAACTCATGCAGGATCCAATCTACATTTTCCTCCCTCGTCTTTGCGATGACCAGCATGGATGTGTAGTTGTGGCCTGGCGGCATCGATGTGCCCTGCTTAAAAAGGGGCCGTGGATTCCAATTTACATAGTCGGGATCCGTCGCGGTGCCCTTTGATGCTACTCCATTACCATGTGTCATCTTCGCATCCTCCTCTCCAACATGCTGCCCCGGATGCACTTGCTGTGGTAAGTGCCGCCATGATTGACGAGATTGCGTGAAGCTAGAGAAAAGGAAAAGAATGGTGATTGTGATGATGACCACGGCCAGAGTAGGTATGTACGTCCGTCTAGGCATAGTGCGAAGCGAGCTGCTGTTCGAGGGTCGAGGTTGGGCGGCCTCAGGTCCGGGCGACCAAGGAATAGAGAACTGAACAAGATGTTTACAACTGACTAATCTGTGTCTTGGTTAGCTGGCTCGGATTTTGTCGTTTTAAGGAGAAGTTTCACTGACAGTAGGGAGTCATCGCACAACGACGTGATCCAGATGTACACACTGGCAATGGTAGCTTACCATGATATGGGAGATTGTCGATGACGAGAGAAAACCGGCGGAGGTGCTATGGGGCCATGCCCATGTCCAAAAGACCAGGTAAACGGATGTGAGCACAAAAGAATGTACGGCGTACAAGCGTCGCACCTTGCAATCCCTTGGGGAACCGCCATCGCGCCCTCTTGAGTGTGAGCTGAAGAGCAAGCCGAAGTCCGCCAAAGGAAGGCGTCACAGGGGGGGGGGGGGGGGGGGTCCTCGGAGACCGTTCTGGCCCTGCAGCGTAGCGTGTACCTTGCAGCGCTTTAGCTTGATACACATCTCTGAGTCTCAAAATCGCCTCTGAGGTATACCTTACCGAGCACAGGCCAAGTGGGCTGCTTCAACCTCGCACAAGAGTTGAAACAAGGTCTGATGTGGGAGGTAGCATACCTATACCTATCCTATGATATGTAGAATGTAGAATTGCAGGTCGATTTCAAGGTAAACTACTGGTGTCTACTCTACCTAGTCAACTTCGCCTCTTCATCAATGCTGTCCCTTCCACATTAGCTGTTCGTTAGTTGTACATGTTGATCCATCGAGAGTCTGACCGAACATCTGCATGAAGCCACATTTCCAAACTTGTAGCCATGGATAGTCAACTAGGTAGGTAAGAGACCGGCTCACGTGCTTGGCACACGCAATCCAGCGTGGAATCGAAATCCAGTGGCGTAACTTCACACGCCGCCTACCGGTACAGGATGGGTTGACAACAATAATCGCAATAGGCGTAGAAGTTTACAATACATGGCCAGATTTACTTGCCTGCGGAACTAATATGCAAGTCAACTTGTTGGCGTTTTTTTGTTGTTTTTTGAAAATATATTTTCGTGCTTACGCAATCCGATCTGACATGACAAGCTTGCCCTGCCGGAGAGCGGGTCAACTGTGAGAATGGCAAACCTGTCAATCAGCCCCCGAGCACAGTTGGCGATTGCGATACACATTTCACGCAACAGTTAGTAGGAACGGTGAGCCCAAACAAAAGAGGAAGTGACACAAACAGAACTTGGGAAAGCACGCACCTCTACCTGTGCCCTGCCGTCACCACCCGCGCACACACACACACATACACACACACAACCAACACTCTCGTTTGCAATGAGAGTGACGGCGGCTTGGTCAAAATGCGGTTGTCACGGGGCGCGAAAGAGGCTCTCTGGGCATGTAACACGTTTTTCCATGTTGGGAGCTGTGGAGTCGCAGCTTCCTACGAAGCGGTGCGCCTGCTGCCTCGTGCGTCTTGTCTTAAAATCATGCGGATGAGCGAGTTCAACTTGAGTGCTGGTAAAACACAGGATCATGCTTGGAGAGTCGAACGTCGATTACTGCAAGCCCATTTGTGTATTTACTGGGCCGTGGGCTGCTGGTGACATGGTCGCGGTCATGGTGGATGAATTGGAGAGTATTTAGACAATGCGGGTGAAGCGGAAGTTGGTGTGATGTGATTTACTGGACGTCCAGGTTGCATCGAGAGGGCAGAAGATAGAAGTACAATTTGGTGCCGAGGAAGATGTTCAAGATGACTGAAGCTTCCGTGGGCTATAGCTGCAGCCCCGAAAGCCTTTACCGAAAGCGCTGAAACCGTTTCTCCAAGGAAATATACCGAGCCGAAGAAGGCTAGGACGACGTCGAACTGCGAGTGAGCAGACCACCGAAGCGTGCTACCTTGCGCTGCTGACGAAAGAACTTTTTTTGCCGACCTATCCCCTATGTGTATGCGAGTGTAATAGTCGAATTAAAACCGAACCCAGTGTAGTAGTCATCATAGGATTACAGAGAGGTTGGGAGAGGTATCAGAGCGAGGAATCTATCGTCACGCGAACCCTAGTAGCGTTTGGGTTCTGGCAGGGTCAGCCGGGGAGCTAGCGGTAAGAGCGATCGTAGTCACCCTCGTACGAGCGTCCTCCGCCGCTGTACGGCTCACGGGGAGGAGGGGCATCGCCATAGCCACCTGCGCCAGCAGCCGGGGGAGGAGGACGGTCATAGTAGCCGCCACCGCCGCCGCGACGATCGTCACGTCCGCCATCACGACCGCCATCACGGCCACCATCGCGTCCACCGTCCCTGCCACCATAGCTCCGGTCGGAAGCATAACGGTCGACACCTCGTGGACCATAGTCATCGCGCCGGCCACCACCGTAGCCACGGTCCTCGTAGCGGGAGCCACGTGAGCCATAGTCGTCACGTCGACCATAGCCGCCACCGCCGCGACGGTCATCGTACCGGTCGCCGTAGCGAGGACCACCGCCCCTGCCACCTCCACGTCCGCCAAACTCTGTCACTGGTGTCAGTCTATCACGAAGCAGTGCCTCAGAGGCAACTTACCACGCTTGGGTGGGCCATAGTACTTGCCCGGAGTCGGCGTGCGGGGACGCGCACGTCGTGCCTTCTCGATGCTCAGTGTCCTGCCCTGGTGAACCTCTCCTTGCAGACCCTCCTTGGCCGCGTCAGCCTGGTCAGAGGTAACCATCTTCACGAAGCCGAAGCCGCGAGACTCCTTGGTGTGCGGGTCACGCATGATGTTGCATTGCTCGACCTCGCCATACTTCTCAAAGAGTCGGGTCACTTCTTCCTCAGTGAGCGAAGGGTGAATGCCAGTGACGAACAGGTTGGAGCCAGAGTTGCGACTCTCGTCGTCATCATCCCTGCGCTCGGGCGGCGGGCCACTGGGCTCATCAGTAAGACGTCTCGCCATCAACTCGCAAAAAGGACACATACCGGCTGTCGCGATTGTTGGGTGAGGCACTGCGGGCGCGCGCGTTGTCGGTGTCGCGACGCTCACCGCGTGGAGACCTGCTACGGTCGCGCTCATAGCCGCGAGGCTCGTCTACACTCCAGTCAGCAGGCAGTCAGGCACACAGAGAGGCAGAGCAACAAACCGTCGTAGCCGCGAGGTTCGTTTTCGTACTCCATGGTGATGATGTTGTGGTGGGTCGGGGGAGATGGTGGTAGGCTGCTTGGGGGGAGGTGTTGTTTGCCAAAGTTTTGTCTGGGCCTGTAAGGTTGATCTGCGGTAGCGTTGCGCTAGGACCACCCGTAGCTGAGAGGTACCTGCAAGTGAGTGGGGGAAGAGTATATAGGTATGGAGCAACGTTGGGCGGCCGGCGGAACAGCGACTTGGGTAAAACAAAACGAACAATCGCAGCAGATGAAGCCCAAGGTAAGTGAGGAGCGCAGTGATGGTGGGTTGAATTGCTGTGTCGCCGTTGTTCGTGTGCTTGTCGTCATATCCTCAGCAGAGCAACAAGGCAACAAACAGGCAGCGGCGCACAGGGCGAGAGAAAAGTGAGGCAGGTGCTAGGCGGTTTGCGGCCATGTCTTGTTGCCCTTGTTGCCCTTGTCCTATCTGACCCTATCCAGCTTAACCGGCGCAAACATCGGCTAGCTTACCTCAGATGTCTCCTTGCCTGAACGGTGAGTCAAGGGGGCGTCTGATAGAGACGCAAAGAGAGCACTTTAATTATAGAGGTAGCATGAGTGATTGCATGTTGATTCAGAGAGAAGAAACCCGTTCTCCTGTGCGGATATTCCATAGAATGAATGGATTACACCCCCTGTGCTCAGACTCAAACCAAACATATCCACCAAGACTAGTACCCTACTCCTTGAGTCCTTGCTAGAGAAATTGCGCCCAGAACAACCCGCCCAAATGGTATCTATCATGCGCCTCCCTCATCATACTGAAGTCGCGGGTGTTCCAAACGCCGTCATGTCCCTTAGTAGCAACGATTCGATATTAGTACAAATGCCAGCGATAATACACGCGCAAACCAGAGCCCTGCTCAAGAAGACTGCTCAAAAAAAAAAGTGCATCTGAGCTCGGTCGTCTACCAACCCCTTGATCTCTTCTGTTTCTTCCGTGCTTTCCGTATCTCAGTCACATTGATCTCTGGCGTATCCGTGGGTCGAACTGGATCTGAGCCTGCAAGACCATCCAACTCATCATCGTCGAGTTCGCTGAGCTCCTCACTCATGTCCCGTAGCACTTTTCGGCCCGTATACCGCTCATCGTACACTGTAGTACCTTCAATGTCGAAGTTTTCTAGGTACCAGGGCACACCACCGTTGCCAAACGGATTCAGCAGGTTCTTCTCAGACCTTGGCGGCGTCAATGGTTCCGCGCGTCTGTTCTCCTCTGTGTTGTCTACATCCATAACATCATCGCGCGGCAGCATGTGCGAGGCGTGCAGAGTGTCTTGCCCAAGTTGAGCTGCGATGGCTGCCTCGTCTGCTGCGTCATCGTGGGCGTGGTGGGCGTCTGCAGCATTGTCGTCAGGTGTAGGCGCAAGCTGCATGTCGTCTTTCTCAGCTATCACTGCCGCCTCTTCCCCATCGACCGCGTCCTCCATGGCCCGTTCCACAGTCGTCTGATCTCCTTCCGTGGTTTGTCGCACACTTTCCTGCGAGAGCACGCTTGACCTACGCTGGAGGTTCTCACTGAGAAGCTTCTCAAGATCGGGTAATTTCTCATAGGGCCGGCCGGCTAACTCAGCCTCCTTGCGAGTGGCCTCCTCCAAAAGTATTTGGAGTCCCTTTGTCATACGCTTGACAAGCTTCTTCAACTCTTTCTGTTCTGGGGTTAGATTACTATGAGCGATCTTGCTGACGTGATCATCAACACCCCCCACAATAGCAATCGGGGCCGATTCAAGCTCGGTACCCAATACCGCCACAAGATCTTCATTGAAAGCCTGCACAGAAGAGTAGTACCTCTCGTCAAGCCTGTTCTGCAGATCCTGAAAACCTTCGGTGAAAACGCCTTTGCCATCCCACCTGAAAAAGTCAGTCGAAAATCGGATGATAGCATGCGGACCACTCACCTGACAGCCTGATCCAGTATAGGCTGCAGCAATCTGGGAATTGGAAAGTATATGCAATCGACAATGTCCTGCAGGAGTTTGACGTCTTCAAGTTTCTTTGCTTCTCGTTGTTTGACCAACTCGCAAAGCTTCCGTATCTGTTCCATGTCACTTTCGAGATGCTCTGCAAACTCGATACGGCGATGGAGTCGCGGCCGTCCTGCGGCTCCCATACCCGCAAAATTACGACGAGTGATTTCCATGGAGGAGAACGCTTCCATTTGTAACTGGAGTCGCTTCAGCAGAGCAGCGCCTCGACGCGCTTCTCTCTTCAGTGTCCAGTACTTGCAGACTTCCTGTACAAACTCCTTACGTTTGCCGAAATTGAATCTTTGCAAAGCATTCTCCACATTGTGGTAGACGGCCTGTGGGACAACGGGTGCTCCAGACGGAAGTCTCCATGACTTTGATGTTGAACCCCGCTTACGCTTGGTGCCAGGTGTGGCATCGTCGTCGTCTGCTTCAATCGATGGCATTGCGTGTGTTGACCCTATCGAAAGGGCATATGCTTGGCTATCGGGCCATCGAGCGTGCCGCATGGTGTGTCTGTAGTAAGCTTTCATGTCTGCGATGGCAGTCTCCACATCATACTCTCGCCTCCAGTCAGAGGGGGTGTGTCGATCACAGTATGCCTTCAAGACGGTGCCATCTTGATGGTTTGTGGATTGTGACGACTTCATCCGTAGACATAGTCTTGCTCGGCGTGCACAAGTTACATGAAACGCCTCGAAACAGGATTTGTGGCCGCATTGAATACAGGCGCCCATTTTTTGTTTGCAGATGTAGCAGCACTGTTGGTAGATTAGTTGGATAGTCTTGGTTTCGGCGCGGCAGGCTTACGAGTTTCCAGCGCGTCTTCGGGACCTTCTCGACATCCTGTACAGGCTCCTGAAACGTAGCGTTACCAAGCGATACCTCAGGTATCCACATGGCGCATAGTAAATGGGCCCATTTCATTGTCGTCGTTTGCTTGAAAGCGCCGTCTTTGTTTGGGCAGAATATACAACCCTGGAGAAGTCAGTCAACAATCACTCTGACGGCTCTGGGTGACACAACGTACCGGATGCTCACTAACAGGTGTACCGCGACCGACGAGTTGACATCTTCTGCACAGCCATTGACCTTCGGGTATGAAGGGGACCCCGTAACATTCTTGGTGGACGGCCAGGTCACAACCGTCGCAGAAAACTATCGCATTGGTGTTCTCACAGTCACCATCGTCGCATATGGCGCATTTGGTGTCTTGCTCCTCACCTTGACCAGCAGGCTCACCATTGACTGCGGCAGCACTACTCGACCGCGGACGATGTGTCTGGGGGGGCTTAGGGTTGGGCTTGGGAATGCCTGCAGGTCATGTCAGCTTCGCAATCTGGACTGTCAACCACTTGACTCACGTTTCTCTAACGCGTGCCATTCCTTCTCAATCTGTGTGACGGTGACTTCAAAAATAGCAGGTTTGATGCTTTGCAGGTTTTCCTTCTCCCGTTGATGGTTCAGCGCTTCGAGCCACGCATCATCTTGCTCATCCATATCGTACTCGACTCGCCCAACTGCAATTGCACCCACAGAGCTCTCGGCTTCCGTTTGGAGAGTCGTGTCAAGATCTTCCTCAATGGAGCCTTCCGGTAGCCGTATGAGACCGTGCTCCGGCCTCAGGAAGACCTCGCTTTCCTGGTAACCAATATTTGCCATTGTCCGATCGACGTAGTTCACTTTGACCCCTTCGCTCTCTTCGTGGGCTTTGAAGGGGTCGACTCGACGGACCGATGGCTTCGGTAGGTTCAACTTTTCTCTCGGATTCATAGTCGGGAGAGGATTGATGCGCGGCCGAGGTGGCGAACCTAGCCCAGCCAGCATGGAATCTTTGTTGCGCGGTGGACGGCCAGGTCGTCGTTTGGGCGTCACCAAGGCTCCTGTTCCATTGACCGCATAGCTGGCTTCCTCTTGCTGCTGCTCAGCTAAGTCAGCCTGTTGGGCACGGAGGCCATCGATCATGGCCGCAATGCCATTGTCCACGGCATATTGGCCGCTGGAGGAGCCGTTTAGCGGCGTTCCTGGGGCTGATTCCGCAGGACTGATACCATCTATCTGGTCCGCCGTGAAGATGGGTATGTCGGCATCAATGTCCAGGTCTGGGTGGAACTCGTCCCAACTCCGCTCCTCGCGCGGCTTGTAGCCATCGCTTTGCGCCACGGCGGCGGCGACGGCAGCGGCCGAGCTGGATCGCGGTCCAGCTGGCGGCCGTTCGCGGCGGGGTCGTGAGTATGAGGGAGAGGGTGCTGTTATGGGAAGGCCTTGGCGTTCAGCGTTGAGGCGACCGACACGACCTCGAGGACCGGTATACGCGTATCCGCCGGGCCCAGTTCCTCCGACAGGTGTCTCTTTGCCCTCGTCATCCACGTATCGTCCCCCGCCGCCCGGTCCACCGGGAATGTACTTTAGTTTCTGCTTGGGGGGCGCCGAATCGGAGATGTGTCGTCGGGGAGGGCGTGCAGAGCTTCTCACGCGTGGCCGGGGCGTGTCAAATACAGGCGCCATGTAGAGTAGAGGGTGTGGAATGGGTCGACGAGGCTAGCAAGGGTGAGGTAGAGGGAGGGAGGGAGGGTCTCCGGGGCCGGAGGGAGGAAGCGTGTCCCGTTGGAAGGTCGCGAGCAACGCGCCGGTAGTTGGGTGCACTGGCTGCCGAGGAGAGAGAGAGAGAGAGAGAGAGAGAGAGAGAGAGAGAGAGAGAGAGAGAGGAGACTACCGCGCTCGCAAAGGCTCCTGGCGAGAGAGGGGCAGGAGGGGCAGGAGGGGCAGAGTGTGCATCGATGACAGAGGCGGGGGAGAGATGGCAGAATGCGCGTAGGCGGCCAGACGTGCGCGACGGTTGCTGTCTCTACCTCATCGCCCTTCTTACCTGAGATGCCTTCTGCAATGTTGCGAGGTTGCACTGTGCCAAGCGCTCCGTGCCTGCTAGCTCGCGGCTTCCCGTTCACGCTCCACTTTTTCCAGATGTCTTTGCCTCCAGTCGATCGCTCGTCTAAGTTATCTCATTCATCAGAACGCTCTGACGAGCTTTTACCCCTGCTAGTGCAACGCTAAAAACTCCTAGGAACTCTAAAGGGATTAGCGTTGCGCTAAAAACTCCTTAACTAATCACGCTAGCTGTAGGGTAAAGCTCGCTAGAGCGTCTAAGGAATAATAGGATAGGTTTTAGTAATACTTAGATTTAGGTTATATAAGGAGATAGTATATAACTTAACCTAATATATCCTATCTACTATAATATATTATAGTCTTACCTCTATAAGTAAATTAATATTTAAGATATTCTCTATTAATTATATATATTATAGCTATACCTAGCTTATTTTCTTAGATATATAGCCCTTCTCTAAATTAACTATCTAGCCTACTCTTATCTATACTATTAGCCCTTAATACGCTATCTTAGGGCTATCTTAGCTCTATTAAACTAGCAATAAATATTGCTATAATATATAGTACTAAAGATAAGGATATCTTTAGTAATAATATAGGCTAGGAGTCTATACTAACCTCTATAAGTAGCTATAAAGGTTATAAATATTTAAATAAGTATACTAAATTAGAAGTAGTTATTTAAATGCTTTAATAAGTTAGGTAGTTATTTAAAGAAATAGTAGAGGCGTAGGCTAGCCTTAAGGATTATAGTAGCTAAGTAGATATATAACTATCCTATTAAAGATACTATAGGTAGAAAGATTGCTAGAAGGCGTTAGTAAGAGTACTAGAGACTCTTGCAGAGTAGGGTATTTGCTAGAGCACGTCTGTAGTTTATTACTATAGGACTAAACTTGCTAGGCTAGTAAACTTCCTGCTATTTAGTTAATTTACAATTAATATATATGGAAATTTAGATTACTAAGGTTAGGAATAATTTAGGAGATAGATTATATCTACTATGATTAGACTTATATATATAGAGCTTTAGCTACCCTTACTAGAAGGTAAATAATTAGTAAACCTTCCTTACTAGAGCTCCTGCTTTTTATTAGGCACTTAGTAGTAAGCTAGTAGTTAATTAGATAGTAGGTTATATAGGGGTATTAATTAGGATTAATTAGATTAAGATACTCTATAATCTAGTTAATATCCCTCCTATAACACACCCCCTAGGTATAGGTAGATCTTTTATTATTATAGTTACACTTATAGTTAGTAGGTAGTATAGCTAATTAGAGCGTTATATATCTAAAGGGTTAAATTAGCTTACCCTTTAGATACTAACTAGCGTGCCTTCCTTATTTAGCCTACACTTGCACGCGTAGATATTATCTAGATAGAGCTCTATAACTCTATTTACCTAACTATAATCTTTACTATAGCTTAAGTTATAAGATTATATAACCTTAAAGATCTAAACTATACTTATATCCCTACTAACCTATATCTTAGTTAAAGTTAAAACCTACTACTTATACTTACTCTACTTATACTACCCTTATTACCTCCTATATAGCTAAAGCTATAGTTACTAAAGCTACTACTACTAAAGAAGAGCGTGCTACTACTAAGTATAAGGCTATTATAGAGTGTGTAGTAGCTAAGTATATAGCTACTACTACTATAGTTAAGATTATAAAGCTAAAAAAGGGCGCTCCTACTCTAGCTCCTACTACTCTAGCTCTAACTCTAGCTCCTACTCCTCCCTAGACCCTGCCCCCTATCCTTACTCCTACTCCTACTCCCTCTCTAGCTCCTAAGGAGACCCTAAGATCCTCCTATTATAAAGAGCCTAGTATTTATTATACTAAAACTTATCTAAATTATCTATACTCTGCGCTCTTTAATAAGTCTAATAGCAAGTGCTATAACTCTTCTAGTAGGGGGACTTAGTACTAGTAGTACTTCTCTAGGTATAGCTATATCCTAATATATATAATCTATATAAGAATTTTTCTATTATAATACTTAGCAAGATCTATACTAATAAACTAATAGCCCTAAGCTTACCTAATATTCTATACTATCCTTCCTAGTAAGAAAGTAGGTAGGTAAGAGCTAAGACCTTCTTAAGAATAAGAAGTAGAGGGTCTTAGTACTCCTTAAGGAGAGCAAGGCTAAATAGTAGGAGCTAGTAAAAGCTGCTACTACTACTACTAAGCTTACGCGCAAGGCTACTACTATAGCTAAGGGCGCCTAGAGCTCCTTATTAGAAGATAAGGACTCTAGCTCCTCTAAGGTTCCCCTTATAGATCCTAGGTTAGGGTAACCTAGGTAACTCCTTATAAACTCTAAGGCACGCTTTACACGCGTAATAAAGCTCCTTAGGGAAGCTACCTAGTTAATAATAAAGAGGTAGGCTATAGTTAGTTATTCTTATATTATATATTAATAGATCTTATATACTACCTTACTTTAATTAATACTATATAATATATACTCTACTATTATATAACTTTAGGTGCTCCCTAAACCTTATAAATTATTATATAGTTAGGTTTTTAGTAAGCCTATTAGCTAGTATATTACTAGTAGGTAGGTAGGTAATATAGAAAGATCCCTTTATATACTCTTATCTTAGCTATATATTTTAAATATCTATATAGCGTAGCTTAGTAGTAATCCTTTTATTATTGCCTACTACTAATCTAATAGTTTATTAATTATTATAATTAATTATCTAGGTAGTATCTAAAGTAAGGTGTATTTTAGTTAAAAAGCGTTTTAACACTATTGCTTCTTTACTTACTTACTTAAGTGTAAGGAGCTCTACCTTAGTAGTTAAAGTAGTAATAGTTACTTATTAAGCTACCTTCTAAATAATAGGTCCTCTAAAGAGCGTGATTAGGTATCTATATAATAATTGCTAAGTATTAATATTATTAGCAAATAACGCATTACTATATATTATAAGCTTATTAGGATCCCTATTCTTATATTAGATTAATTAGTATTAAGTTTAGTATAGATAGATAATTACTTAATTAACTGTATTAAAGTGTTATTTAGATAGGTTAGTAAGGTATTAGGAGAGCTAGGAGGCTGTATAGGCAATATTAGGGCGCACTATAATTAAGGTATAAAGGATTAATCTAACGCGCTCCTAATAGTCCTTAATCTCCTTTTTAGTGGCTTCTCCTATACTCTTTTTAATATCTTTACTTAATAGTAGTATAGTAGGGAATTTTCCTATCTCTACTAGATTAAATTTCTTTATAATCTTGTTAATATATTTATTATAAATAAGTGTTATTATCTATCTCTTTCTATCCTAGATTACTCTTACCCCTAGAAACTAGCTTATAGGTCCCTTTTCTTCTATAGTATATCTTTGCTTTAGAGCTTAGATAACTTTGTAAGCTTAGCTTGCGTAGTTTTAGTAATAGAGCAATAGGATATTATCTATATAGAATATTAACAAGATACTACAATCTCTATTAAAGAATAGGTATAGCTCCTCTTTAGAAGTAATAAGCTTATTTTCTTAGAGTGTAGTTAAGAGCTTATTATACTATAATAATAGTAAGTCTTTTAGTCTATATAGAGCTTGTTTAAGCTTAACGCACTTTCTAGGTATTTAATATCCTTTAGGTAGCTTATAGATAACTATAGGGTGTTAATCCCTTAAGGCGTTAAGGAAAGCTCTAACAACGTTATATTAATATATCTTAAGGTTAAACTTAGCTTTAATAGCTATTATAGTCCTAAAGGTTCAAGCTACTAGGGTAGCTGCGTAGGTTAAATAAATTAAGTTAGTAAGCTATAGATCTCCTCTTACTACTATCCTTGCTTTGCACTTAATTAGGTAACTATTGTGAAGGACTTAGGCTTATGCCCAAGCCTAGGTCTAACACAAGACGGACCAAGTCTAACACTACTACTAAGCGAACACACTAGACACCTATAAAAAGGCGTAGAGGGCTTATCTCTCCTTTAAGATACTAAATACTATTATTAACACTTATTATATTCTCCCTTAAGGCTAGTCTATAATATTTTAGTATCTTCTTCTAAATATACTATAATAGTAATAAGAGATAGACGCGCTAGATGTTTAGAATAACTAGGTGCAACCTAATATAGTAGAAAGGCTAATACAATAGGTCTATAGATTAATAGAATAATAGGCTTAAGACTCTGCTATAATAGCTATACTACGTTAATAGAATAAAGAAATACGCAATTAGATTCTATCCTAACCCTCCTCTAAGCCTACTAGGTTTAATAATATGCTGCCTCTACCCTCTCCTGCCTTATATTGCAAACCTTTCCTAGTTAGCTTGCTATATAATAGCACTAAGGCAAACTTCTCCTCCTAGTAAATAACTATAGAGTTTAAACTGCGTGTAGATAAGGTCTTTATTAGGGATAAGGAGGCAAGGTTTATATATATTTAGTCCTAGTTATCACCTATAGTCTAGCGCGCTATAGCACTATACTTTAAGGATAGTGCACGTAAGCATTAGGATATAGGTAGGTTTCTTAACTACCTAGTATTCTATTATAGCAACTATTATAGGTAGGAGCGCGCCTAAGTTACGTTAGAATACTTATATTAGGGCTAAAGTTAGCCTTTTATAAAGTTCTTTATAAATTTTATATAGCTCCTTATATAGTTAGGAGGTTTACACTAGGATAATAAATAGAAGCTTTTATAACTTTAGCAATCTCTTAATAGTTGTATACGCTTAGTTTCCCTTAATAGGGGAGTCTCTAGGACAAACTATAACGCAGCTATAAAGGAATATAAGATAATTATAGTAGATATTAAAATAGCCTCTCTAGAACTAGGCTTTCTTTAGGCTAGTAAGTCTAAGGAACCCTAGTAGAAGTCTAACTTAGACTAGGATAGCGATATAAATATAGTAGAGGTGGTAGCCTTATTAAGTATACCTACTAAACTACTAATATTATGTCCTAACTAGATCCTATAGGACCTATTTAATACACAGAAACTAGTAAAGGTCTACACCTAGTGTAGATAGGGCAGTTATTTTATGCATGCATACCTTAATACCCTATTGCTATAACTAGTAGGTGTTAAGATAGTTACAGTATTAGCAAGCGGCCCTAATTTAGGAAACTAGCTGCCCCTAACTTTAGGCTAAGTTAGGGGT